AGGTGCTGAAGACCCCGAGGAAACTCTCTCCCAAGCAGGTTCATTGGGCTCAATATTTCATACGCTTTAATTTTAACCTGAAATACATCCCAGGGGGTAAAAACCTTCTGGCTGACACTCTCTTCCGTAAGCCCCAGTTTGACAGCCGATGGGAAGAGATAATTTACGCCATGATCTAGGAAACTCAGTCAGCTGCCCAAGCCCACACCCGAGCACAAACGCGCCAGGGTTCCAACCTCCCCGAAGACAAGTTGACAGCGGAGCTAAAAGCGGCGCTCTCCACTGACTCCTGGTTCAAGGAAAACCAGGTGGACCTAACCCTAAGGGACGGGTTGGCATGGAAGGGAAGTAAACGTTATGTGCCCTGCAGCCTGCAGCTCCTGGTGCTGAAGAGGAGTCATGACTCTCGACTAGGGGGCCACTTTGGGTTTTTAAAAACCCTCCATTTGACTAGGAGACAATTCTGGTGGGCAAAGATGAAAACTGATGTGGAAGACTATGTGAGGAGCTGCGCCACCTGCACCACCATGAAATCCTGACTAGGAAGCCCCCTGGACTTCTCCAGGCTGTGGCTGAATCCACCAGGCCCTGGGAGGAGATTGCGGTGGACTTCATAGTTGAGCTCCCCGACAGTGGGGGCAACTGGGTTATTTGGACTGTCATTGATTTATTCTCCAAGCAAGCACACTTCACTGCCTGCAGCGGACTACCATCGGCCAAGAAACTGGCGAAGGTGTTTGTGAAACACATCTCCAGGCTACAAGGAGTCCCTAAGAGAATAATATTGGACCGCGGGGTCCAGTTTACCGCTACATTCTGGAGGGAGTTTCTGTGATCCATTGGGTCGTCCCAAGGACTTAGCTCAGCTTTTCACCCATTAACTAACGGATCGGCTGAAAAATTGAACTCAATGGTGGAGCAATACATTAGGTGTTATGTAAATTATCAACAGGAGAACTGGGCAGACTTGCTACCATTCACAGAAGTGGCTTATAATAATGCAGTACACACCAGTACTGGGTTGACTCCTTTTCAGATAACTACGGGCATGGATTTTGTGCCAATGCCTGAGCTGCCTAGAGAGCCGCCTACTTCTATGTCCCTAATGGAGTGGATGACCTCGTTGAGAAAGGGTTGGGAGAATACAAAAAAAGCTTTAGTGGAGTCAGCGGAACGATATAAGGCCCAGGCCAACAAACGCTGGTCCCTCTAACCACCGTTCCGAATAGGTAATAAGGTGTATTTGTCAACCAAGTACCTAAGATTGAGGGTACCCAGCAAGAAGTTTGGACCCAATTCATAGGTCTTCCTTATAGTGAAAGTGATTAACCCAGTGATGGTCCAACCTAGACTCCCTTGCATCTTAGGGAAAGTACACCCCGTTTTCCACAGTAGCTTATTGAGACCGGTCAGAGAATCTACCCTAAAACCCTTGCCAGCTGCTCCACCCCACTCTTTGCTAGGGCAAGGGGAGACTCATTATGAGGTGAAGAAAATCCTGGACTCTAAACTCTACAGAGATTGCTTACAATATTTGGTGCATTGGAAAGGCTACCTTTGGCTGAAGCTACTTGGGTTAAGAGTTGGGATGTAAATGCGGATGAGCTCGTGAAACAGTTTCACGATAAATTTCCTGAGAAACCAAAAAGTCCCCCTGGGGGAAGGGGGTTAAGGGGATTGGTGCTAGGTGTTAACCCTTCTTTTGTGTTTTGCCTGGAGGAGGAGGTGGTTCTTTTTGCAGGGGGGGGATGCCTGTCAGCTTTGGAAACCATATTTGGCCGGAAGCTCCAATGCTGCCAACTTCTCCTGTGTGGGAAAGTAGGAGGGGGATTTAGGAGAGGGGGTGAGTAGGCATAATAGCATTCTTCCTGTTGGTCAAGGTCAGGGTGATCCAGCATTTGGAGAAGGAGTGGTCAGGGGGCTGGATCAAGATGGAACGGATGTTGATTGGGGCATGTGACCGATTGGGTGGAAAAGGGTTTGGGAGCTTTGACTTACTGGGGGAAAACCCGGGCTTTTCAGATTCAGATTCAGTTTCCCCAGATGTGCCAATTTGCCTATTCTAGTAAAGAGGACTTTGGAAAATGCTTGCTTCCGCGTCTTTACTTGGAGTTGGGTTTTTTCTGGAACGCTGACAGCAGCACTTACCGGTAATTGAATTTGTTTGGGTTCAACAGCTAATGCAGGGCCAGATCTGGCTAGTACAGGGATGGGAGACTATCAGGAAATTTCAAGGCTGTAGATTAGACAGAGATTGGAAGATATCCTGGAGGAGAGGCAACAGCAAACCATTTTCATGCTGTTGCCAAGAAATTTAATGCATGTGTATAAATCCCCAACAATCAAGCTTAACTCAAAGGAGATATTACCTTTAATACAACACACCCATATACAGTACCCGGGTCACCATAAAGAAGAATGATAGTTCTTCCTGTCATGCATGGTCATTTGCATACAAAGGGGAGGGAAGTAATGCAACGTGTTATGCACAAATTACATCTCTTATGTACTTATACAAAAAGGCAAAATTTGGATTGTGATGGCATGACATGTTTCTAACTTTGTTTGTTATCAAGACTAGCTACAGAAACCTCTTCCTTATTTCTATTACTCCTACCACCACCTCTGGATTGCTTGAAAAGGGACTAAGCCACAATTCTAGTTTCAGATGATAAATTAAACATGATTGGTGTCATCTGTACTATTTTAGCTGTTCTGCTTGTGTAAGACCAGTAAGGGTTTGTCAATAAACTATAATGTGGCATCAGATAATCAAAACTGAGCCAGGAACTTTCCAAGTAGCCATGGATTTAGCTATGAATCTAGTTCTTTGGAGTCTACTTCAGCAAGCTTCCACTGGTTTCTAATTTTTCATGGTCTCTCCATTTGGATTGTAAACAATCCCAGTTCCAGACTCTTTCTTGAACTCTCAAAGACCTGGAATAGGAATATTTGTCTAGCCTCACTTTTGTATACTATGCAAACATAATTTGCTTTCCCTTATGGTATTTTTAGTGACTCCAATAGTCCCATAAACTGGAAGGTAGGAGACCTACTGCTTGAAAATAAATCTTGGCATCCTAGTTTATAAGATTAGTTTTGCTAGCCTGAATGAATTCAAATTTGAAGCAACTGCCATCCTAAGAGTTGGAGGCAAACCCTCCATTATCCCTGCACCCAATAAGATCCACTTTAGAGCTAAATCTTTATGGAGGGATATTCTCCACGCCTAGGAGCACAAAGGGGTCATCCATTATTAAACCTTCCTTTCTTGGTTGACATTGAACAGTGACTCTCACATGGCTTTATTATGAACCATCCTTTTATTCCCTGGCACACAGCCTGGAAAATACTGATGGCCTCAATCCCAGCACAGATTAGGGACAAGTTTCTCTGAGCAACTGTCATCCTTATGGCTGCAATTACGGTAATCAGTTCCTCCACTGATCACAGCGGAGCGCAAGAAGGCAATCCTCAGAAGCAAAAAGTTCTATGGGCACATGTCAAGAATATTAGGCTTCCTTGCTCATTTTTCTGGAGTGTTTTATGAACAAGTTTGATTTGCAAGACATCTTCAAGAAACTAGCCAAAATATATCAGGTCAGATCAGAATTAACAGGATTCCATCGATATAGCTGTAAAAAGAGCATCTTATCTGGGATTTTATTTGCATCAAAGCTGACCTCCAGAATTTAGTGTGTGTATGTATGTTTGTGCAGGGGCAGGGGACGTTGCTTTAAATTAGAGGAAAATATTCCATAAAGTGCTTTTTCTGATTAAGTATCCATAATATTTTAGTAGGGTTATGGACAAAAATCCCAACCTTTTAATTTTCTTATTTCTATAACCAAAAAGAGAGATACACAAGGAATAGGATGAATATGGGGTTATCATGTTCTTCTCAAGATAAATGCTTATGGTTTCACTCAAATTATAATTAAACCCTGCACCATTTATATGTAGCAGCTCACTTTTCAAGTTTCAGGAATCCATAATTTTTTGCCAGTATACGGTATTCTATAGATTACACTGATTTGCAAATGGAAAATAGCATACATACAAAAAAATAAACATTATTTAGAATCTGTAACTGTAAGCATCCTTCTCTGAAAAGAAGTCTCATAAAGTTCTAAAGAATTTCTCTCCTGACCATTGGGTATATGGTTGCATTCTTACTAAACTATCTTCTATTGACTTAAGTGTCTGCAAACATGCAGAATGAATTAAGACTGGGTGCTTACATTAAAGTCCGCCTATTCCTTTGAGGCATTTTCACAAAATAACAAGTAACACAAAGTTCTTAATTCATTTAATATATTTGCTTATTTTCTTAATCTAAATCTTCTTAATCTAAAACTTATTAGAAATTAACTCAGTAAACTTTGCTTATTTGGGGCACATGCTGTTCAACACAATAGTTCATTAATAAGCTATGTACCTTTCTCTCCCTCCCCCACCCCTTCTCTCTCTCTCTCTCTCTCTCTCTCTCTCTCTCTCTCTCTCACACACACACACACACACACACACACACACACACACACACACACACACACCTAAAAATTTGGAACAAACTTGGCATCTTGTCCTTTTCAGGAAAATCTTATTTACCTACATAGATGTTCTGTACATAAATTCTAATTGAATACCCTCTTCTGGTTTGAGTTTACCCTGTTACAGAAGCCTCCATAACCATCATAGAGTTCCATATAGGATGCAGGTTATATTAAAACTGCTGCCAACAAAGACCTGTTTATAAATTAATCCCGCGATCCAAACCCAACTGGCTTCTCCGCATCCCAAGGAACTCCCCCCCCCCCCACGCGCGCTCAGCAGCCACTTCTACCCCGGCTTCGCCTTCTTGCGCCCCACCGGAGCCATCTGTGGGGTTACGTTGAAAGTCGAGGGGGATGGCGTGCCTGTCTCGGAGTCCCCTCTCGACTCCGGACGGCTTTCGCAGATGTGACCCGGCACGGCACCCCCCGTTTCGCGGGACGCCTTGCCTGGAAGCCGCGCGAGCCGCTGCACGATCCGAATGATTTCTCCCTCTTCTGACGTCGCCTCGTTCCCTGGTCGAGCGCTTCGGCCGAAGGAGCCCCGATCTCCCGGTTCTGATCCGGAGGAACTGCGTCGCCGCTGCTGCTCTCACCGCGCTCTGCTTTGAAGCAAAGAAGCCGAACTGCCGCCACCGCCGCTGCGGCAATATACCAACCCTCTCCGCCCCCTCCCCCCCCCCCCCCCCCGCCCCCCCGGCGCTCGCTCGCTCGCCTGTCCCAATCGCCGCTAGTCGCTCGCCCGTCAGCTCTCGGGTAGGTTCCCAAGGCGGCGCCTGGTTGGGGAAAGGATAAAAGACTTTCTCCGCCGAAGACGTCTTATGGCGTCGGGGTCCAGGGGTCCACGCGCTGCCCCCAAAACAAGTCTCTTATCCTCAGCAGGAGGAGGAATGCCCTTTGCCAGTCAGATTAGCAGCCACCGGTTGATGAAGTTATCTACTACTTTAAAAGTAGTAATTGGGTTTAACCATCACCAGTGCTTCTTGTGGCAATGCAAAAGACACCACAGGTGACTCGCCTGGATCTACTGCCTCACTTGAAGTAATCGGGAAAGAAGAAAGTTATTTTAGTGCATAAGCAGGTTGCCTCTGTTTAAGATGTTTCTTTCTGCTACTAAAATGGGAGGATCAACAGAGCTGCATGAAATTTACTTATTTATACAGCTATCTATTATCTATCTATCTATCTATCTATCTATCTATCTATCTATCCATCTATTTATCTTCTTCTTCAACATCATCTATGTTCTATCTTCTATCATCTATCTGTCTCTCACATCATACAGTTCTAGGTGTTTTACAATGCAATGGCAGGAATCAACAGAACCACATGAAATTATTTATACAGCTATCTACTATCTATCTCTATCTATCTACTGTATCTATCTATCTATCTATCTATCTATCTGTCTGTCTATCTATCTATCCATCTATTTATCTTCTTCTTCTTCATCATCATCATCTATGTTCTATCTTCTATCTATCTCTCACATCATACAGTTCTAGGTGTTTTACAATGCAATGGCAGGATCAACAGAACCACATGAAATTATTTATACAGCTATCTACTATCTATCTCTATCTATCTACTGTATCTATCTATCTATCTATCTATCTATCTGTCTGTCTATCTATCTATCCATCTATTTATCTTCTTCTTCTTCTCATCATCATCTATGTTCTATCTTCTATCTATCTCTCACATCATACATTTCTAGGTGTTTTACAATGCAATGGCAGGATCAACAGAACCACATGAAATTAATGTATTTGTTCATGCAGCTATTCAGATAGGGAGCCACTATTTTCACTTTGTCCATCAGTAGTTTGGAACTCCGAGCCTTCACAGTACATATGATCCTTTTTTAAAAAAATGCGAGATGCATCTTTGAGCCAGCAGGAAATTCTGCCAGACTGGCCTTTGGTCTGAGCCAGCAGGGAACATCGCACATTCTGATGCAGTTCAGCTACTGGAAATAGGAGATTCAGCTTTATGAACTCAGTTGGGTTCTGACTCAGCCATCATCAAGGGCTGACATAGCTCTGTCGTGTTTTTAAGTTGCTGATCCAGCTTGGGGGGAAAAAAGTCACATCTAATATAATTCAAAGCATCTTGCAAGACATATATGTAAACGGGCTGTTATCCACAACAGTTTAGCCCCTAATAAAAATGAGTCTTTAAGATGTGACCAATGTCCTTAGCTCATGTCTTACTTATACCAAGCTCAGCATAAGTGCCTGGCATTCAGCATCATGTTTCTCATTGCCTGCATTGTAAATGATAATAATTATGGTTCACAGGGCTGAATTAAAAGGAATATAGTACATTTAAAAATACAAACAGTAAATTCCATTTAAAGCATCACATTATTTTCATTGTCTGCAGTAGAGGGCTAATTTTACTGCTTTAAAGTAAACAGGTTTGACTCCTAGTGACTCTTATTGATTTCATGGATGCATTCATGGATGCTTCTTGGCCCTAACATGAAAAAAAAAATGCTGTAGTTTTTTTCTGGGATGTTTATTAGATTACCTCCTTGGGTTTTGCTCCAAGTCTCTCATTCAAATGCAATATACATTCAGTACCAGCCCTGCTTAGTTTGCCCTGCTTAGTTTGTCAAGATAATGGGCATTTAATGGCATTTAAAAGCCATCACATTAGCAACTGTGACACAACCTTTGGATTTGCTAACCTCACTTTCTAATCATGTTTTTTAAAATTATCTTTTAACACTAGCTTAAGGCTAATAAAGATATTCAAAACAACATGTTTTGCAAAGCAATGAGTTTAACATAGTTCCAGTATTAAAAAAAAAATTAAATATAATTATTAGAATTTGAAACAAATCACAAAAAGCTAAATCAGACTTTCATCATCATTATCATCTTCTTTTAATGACCCCATAATCCTTGCGGGCTAGAGTCTGGGCAACTGAATGGAGCTAGCAGAGTGTTTTAATGACCGGATGCACTTCCTGTCGCCAATGTGGAGTTTTGATCAGCAGATATATTCTCAGCGTACCCAGAGAGATAAATATCTGCCTCTACCTAGGATCGAACTCACAGCCTCCTGATTGTGAGGCAAGAGCTCCACCTCTAGGCCACTGCACCACTCCAAAAAGCTAAATCAGACTTTAATTCAAGAAAATTATAAATGAATCATTTATAATAATAGACAAATAAACAGTATCTTTATGGAAACTAAATTGTTAGTCTATCTTAAGTTGTAACAGAAATTTGAGGTTTTGTAATTTCAGAAATTGGACACAATAGAGGACTAATGTTTCCAGCATAAAAATTAAAAGAAAAAAAAAGGAGGGAGGGGCTTCTTCTTTGTCTTTGGGAATGTTTATTATACTACTTTAGAAGTTAAAAAGGTTGGTTGCCATTGAGACAAACTCAATCCTTACATGGACACATCCATACAGTTTTTCTGGCATGATACAAAACTGTTTGCCTTTGCATTTCTGGAGACTTCTGAATTGATCTTACAACTCCAGAAGATAGTATCAATATTGAAACTGATCTTAAAAGATTAGAAAACTGGGCTGAAATTGAACTGTAATAGCAATACAAAGGCATGCAAAGTCCTTTATATAAGAGAAAAAAGTAAGAGAAAATCCCACCTAGTTTACAAGAACACTTATGAAAGCAATGTTGAATTTGTAATGAATGTAATAAATCACAACATATATATGGGCTCCCCCCCCCCATTTTACACCTAACCAAGATACAAATGTCTCCTAGGAGAATTTGTTTTGCTGCCAATCCATAAGGAATCTTAATTTGGTCCCTTAACCCACATATGAGAATGTCTGAAGTGTCTTTAACTGGACCAGCTTGAAAGTAATGTTTCCATCCTTGAGCCAATGCATGCAATGGCAAAGGCAAACTAGTTATGCTTTAGTTGACTTGGTTCACATCAGCTATGATGTTCAGTGTTCAGATTCATGTAACAAAGCCAAAACTGAACAAACACTTTAGAGTACTAGGGAAGACACTTAGTAGTTCTGCACACTATCATGAGCTATGGTTTGTTTAATAACGGATTAAAACATTACAAATAGCATGTCTCATACTAGATGTGGTTTGAATTAATCTTTCCAAGACTTTTGGCTGTGTGAATCAAGCTAATTGTGGCTTGTTATACTACTGTTAACCATGATTTAGCAAGATGTATGACTCCTAACCTATAATTAGCCATCAATTAATATCAGCGTCTGATGGTGATACAGATATATGTAGAATAACTAGTCTTACATGAGATTAGGTGGGTGCAATGCCTAAGGCCAAGTTTATAAATTAAGACAAGCTATTGTAAATTGTTTGAGTTCACATAATGACTTCAAACCAAAATCAAGAAACTAGGGTGTGAACAGAGCCAGCTGTGGTTTGTTCATTAAGTAAAACATATTTATTTATTGAATTATTTATTATTCCTTCAGCAGCTCAAGATGGCATATTTAGCACACTCTCCTCATATTTGTCCCCACAAGAAAAACCACCATGAAAAGGGCAGTGCGGGGAGGGGGTGTGGTAGAGGGCGCTGGAAGAGAATGATTGAAGAATGATTACAGTATCCCAAAGTCCCCAACATGGTTCCATAGCTGAGGGAAGTCTTTTTGCTTTGAGCCTGATACTTTAACCACTCCACTATACTCCCTTAGTGTGTCCCCCCATCTGTGATCTGAGTCACATAAGCTTTTAAGAGATAATATATTTTGCTTATTTTCATTTACCATATTGTATGATCTTAGTCCATTGATGTGTGAGCTAAAAATTTAGCATGCTATGTAAACCCAACAAATTTGGTTTATGTAGCAAACCACAGTTAACCCAATTATGACTTAGTATAGAATGAGAATTATATTATTTTATGCAAATAATAAAGATAAAAATGTTATTAATATTTTATTCCTTTCTATAAAAAGAGTTTTTTTTCTCTCCCTTGAGAATGTAATTATTGTAAAAGGATTTCAACCAAAACTGTGGTAAGGTCAAAATACCATTTATATCCCAAATGTAATTAGCCCAGATGGCCAAGTACTGGTAAATTAAGTCAACAATAACTTACTGTACCTCATGTCAAAGTTATTTCCTTTATTTCAGAATTTTAAAATTTATCCATCTGTACTGGCATATTTAATCATCTTTACACTTTCAAAACTATTAGGAATTAATGAACAACATATGTCTAAGTAACTTGGGCTCTCTTATGAAGTATATTTTTATCAGGAAGGGTGTCTATTTTTTTAAGTTAAGAAACTTTGCACTGTTAATTCACCTAAAATTCACCAGAAATACATGGGCTGGATCATATACTGCAATAAGGTATTGTCCAGTTTAGCTAGGGTATCTTGAAATTTGATGGCTACCACAATGAAATGGATTCAAACATGTTAATCTAAAATCAAATTATATCATATCTTAGTATGATTGAATAAATATCTCCTAGTGAGGGTTGGGCAACTGTGGCCCTTTTACAACCAAGCTGGCTCAGGAATTCTGGGAGTTGAAGTCCACAGGTTGTAAAAGGGCCACAGTTGCCCATCCCTGTCCTAGTGGCAAATCAGATGTATAAATCGTGTGTGCCTGAAATACAGAAGAGTTCAGTCAAAAATTGTGTATATGTATATATGCCACGTGTTGCAATGATCAACAATTTATTTTACCGATCTATGATATGTAAATTCATTCGTAGGAAAAGGACATTTTGTGTACTTTTGGGTCTACTGCAGATGGTAAACACTTTTAATTGGAACAAGGCAGATATTGGACATCTGGTTCTTACAATGAAAAACACACACATTCCTTTAAGAATTTTCCAAAAATCAACAGGAGTAGGAAGTCATACCGGTAGTAACTGAGGCACAAAGATGAACCAAGAATTGCACGCACAGTCAGCAGAGGGCTGTAGAAGACAGGATGCCAACTGAAGCTATATTGCTCTGCAAAGCCTTGAAATGTTTGTGCAGCTTTGTCACCATTTCAAAGTTTAAAAAAAGGGAGACCAAAAAGAAAGACAACAAAGATGACTAAGAGTTAGCTCATGAAACACAAGAAATGCAATTAAAAACTGTTAATTTTTACAGAAAAAAAAATAGGCAGGGATGACATGACAGCAGTTCCAAATATCTAAAGGAAAGGGAACAAATTGTTTACTTGGAGAAATTGAGTGAATTGCCAAGATTTGCAGCTCAGTATCAGATCATTTACTTTGTGATAGAAGAATGAAACACACTTCTTGTTTTGTATGTTATGTTACAATATAATAATCAGTTACTGATGTCTTAAGGTGCTGTGTAGTACATTCATGTATGCATTCACTTAATTGCAGCTCTCTGCATCTTCAATGCGTTTCCTCCAATGGTAACTGTACAGATGACAACTGTCCTAAAAGGATATTGAATGATGTCTCTTTTGGAAAGGCTTAAAGAAGCTTAGGCCAGATTCTAGGTCATTCTAAAGCTGTAAGATCGACTCATCAGGCCTCTGTATGCACCGGCTCCACCACTGCCTGTGAATTTGGGTATAGTTTTATGGGTAAATGTAGCATAGTATTATGGGTAAATGCAGCACTCTGGCTTTTGTCTACCTGGAGGAAGCCAGGAAGTGCAACTTTTAATAAAATGAAGTATTGCTTTATTCTGTTTTTATTTGGCAATTACACATTTTTATCTCAACTTCTCTAGGGTGCAAAATAACATTTATGCTTCCATTTTCCTTCATTCACACAACAGCAATGCATGTAACTTCATCTGTTATTGAGACCTAGATACTTTCATAATACAGTGGGGCTTTGAATTTGGTTATCCCCAATTCCAGGCCACCCCTTTACACACTACATCTATTAACTTTTAAAAGCATGGACAAGCACCTTCTCTAGTTACGCTTTCACATGAACCTAAGGATACAGCTTATAAACAATGTTTAGTTAAAGCATACAGTAGTTTGTTGGCTTTGGCTTAATGTGTTGTATGTACCCAGCCATAATGATCTATGAACAATGTATTTTGGTTTAGAATGTTGCTAGTCCATCTGATTTATTCTGTACCTTATAAACCATGGCTTAGTGATTTGTGAACCAGGTCATATGGTGGACATTGCTCTGTTTAAGGGCTAGCATTCTACTGCTTTTTATCTTTCTTGTTTTAAGGACACCAATGTTTTCAAGATGCATTGAGAAAGTCCTAGGCTGTCCTAGTTCAAGATATCTGTTGATTTGGAGGATTTTTCCTTGAGTCTCTATATTATATCTACTGCCATCTTACTTCGTTTATTTTATTCTTTGTTGCTTTTCTGTCCTTATGTGAGGGCTTGTGTGACAATGATTATTTATGGTTGTTTTAAACCTCATTGTGGTTATTTTAAGTTTAGTTTATAATGTCTGTAAGCTATTCAGAATAATTTGATTGTGGGGGAAAATAAATTATTCCTATCCTCTAACCTGCTATTTCTCAAGCTTGGCAACTTTAAGAGGGATGGATTTGGAATTGAAGTCTACTTAACAAAGTTGTGAAGCCTAGAAACGCTCGCTCTGAGTTGAAGCAAAACTGTTAATAGCAACTCTTCTACCCTCATTTTCAAGTCAAGGAGCATTTTACCTAATAAGGCTAGCAGAGGCAGGCAGCAACTGTCCAGATGACCCCTAAATGGCTGCAGAAAATTAGAGGTGTGCTGAATCTCATTGCTGCCAGCTGGATTTATGCATTTCAGATCTATTATGTTAATCTAAGACTATTTAAGCAATTTTGATTGGGTGTGTGCATGGGGGCGCGTTCATTGAGAAAGTATGAAATACTATCTAAGGCTGATGACTTCATGGGCACATCTACCAGTCTGCTTGGCAACAAAGTAAAAATCATTGGCTGCCACCTTCTTTCGGAATTATTTTTCAAGTTCCCTGAGCTATAGCATTGAGATTTTCTCATGGTCTCTCATTTAAACACTAGCCACAGTTGATCCTGATTAGCCAAAGTCAACTAAGTGCAGCCACCTGCTGTGACCTGATAGATTAGGGCTTACCTATGAGAGGAAGACTCCGAGTGGCCTTGTAAAAACATTTATATTAACCTTGCTTTTCAGTCAGATGGTACAATACACCGGAATGTTTGATGTGGACAATGGAGATTGTTGTTTTATCTGAGACCACCACTACAGAAGCCATTCTTAAAGTAGGAAGGCAGATCTACATGGAAAGTAGCCAGAAATTCAATTGCCTGGTTTCATCACAGAATTATTCCCAGCCAAGTAGCAATAGCACTTATATACTGCTTCACAGTCATTTCTAAGTGGTTTACAGAGTCAGCATATTGTCCCCAACAATCTGGGTCCTCATTTTATCGACCTCGGAAGGCTGAGTCAACCTTGAGCCGGTGAGACTCGAACTGCCAAACTGCTGTTAGTCGGCAGTAGCTAGAAAAGGCAATAGAAGACTGATTGTGAAGATTTTATTAATAGACAACTGAATAGAATAGAATTCTTTATTAGCCAAGTGTGACTGGACACATAAGGAATTTGTCTTGGTGCATATGCTCTCAGTGTACATAAAAGAAAAGATACATTCATCAAGAATCATAAGGTACAACACTTCATGATAGTCATAGGGTACAAATAAGCAACCAGGAAACAATAGCAATATAAATTGTAAGGATACAAGCAACAAAAATGGTGGGAACGGTGAGAAGATTAATAGTAGTGCAGACTTAGTAAGTAGTTTGACATTGTTGAGGGAATTATTTGTTTAAATGAGTGATGGCATTCAGAAAAAAACTGTTCTTGTGTCTAGTTGTTCTGGTGTGCAGTGCTCTATAGTGTCGTTCTGAGGATAGGAGTTGAAACAGTTTATGTCCAGGATGTGAGGGGGGGGGTAAATATTTTCACAGCCCACTTTTTGACTCGTGCAGTATACAGGTCCTCAATGGAAGGCAGGTTGGTAGCAATTGTTTTTTCTGCAGTTCTAATTATCCTCTGAAGTCTGTGTCTGTCTTGTTGGGTTGCCTACAGTTATAGAGGTGCAGATTGCAGGGGGGAAAACACTCTGCATATGGTCAGAAGTACAAAACCCAGCAAAGTTCAGGGAAATAAAAAAAAAAGAGAAGACAATAATAACAAATCTCAGTCTCTCGCTTCGGAAGTTTCGCTCGAATGACTGATCCGGCGGAGCAGTCCTCGTAACGATCATTCTTTATTGATCCATTGCTCCCTCATTAACCTTAATGTAGGATGCAACAATATAAACAAATCAGATCTGGAATAACCAGCATAAAAGTCACCCCTGGTACCAAAAAAAAGAAAAAAAAAGTCTTTGTTTTCTTCTCCTGTTTCTAACATCCCGCCTCGTCTGCGGCAATTGGTCCTTCCCATGATTGGCATGTGACGTCACCATCGCCCTCTTGGTCCCGAGACGCTTGGCTGGAGCCTTCGGCGCCGCCCGGTTATTTACGTATTAATCGCCTTGGCCCGGAAACCGGAAGTGGCGTGTTTGCGGGAGACCAAGTTGCAGGAAGAAGTTCGCAAGAAGTCAGGTCGGCGGGGGCGGGGGCGGGGGGTGTTGGAGGTTGAGTGGTCTGCTTTGTGGGCGCGGGGTTGGAGCTCGAGGAGGGGAAAAGTTAGAGACCTGGTAGAATCAGGCAAGCAGAGGGATAGGGAAGAAGGGGGGGTGGGGGTGTCCCAGTCTGGTTTGGAAAAGCGTGCCACCCAGAGCACCTTGCCAGAGATGTCGTTGTTTTTAGGCTAATGCTTTCCTTCCAGGCTGGCATTGGGAAATGCTGGGGGAAGAGGAGGGCATGGTTCCTGGTTTGAAAATGTTCAGGGCATTTAATATTCTGTGCATTGAATTGCACTATGAAACGGGGACTGGAGGCTTGTTTTTTCTTGATTTCCAGTCGCATGGTTTTGGTATCTCCTTTAGGAGAGGGTGGGATCAGCTGGCAAAAGTCCTGCACTTCTGGTGCCCACTCTGTGCAGTTTAGGTCGGGCTTGTTACTTAGAAATGGAAATTATTGGATTCAGATTAGAGAGTAGCATATGTATGTGGAGGGCGGGGCTAAAAGTGAGGTTAAATCTTGAAGGAATTATGACTCTGTTAAATAAACAATGCATTGGTGAAAGACACCCTTTAAATGATAAAACCGCAAAATTTTAAATTCCTGGTATCTCCAGTACTGTACAATAAAGAACATGGTTTGAAAAGATCTTGTATGAGACTGCAGAAAACTAATGGCATTTAGAGGAGAGGGTTGGTTGATCCAGCATGATCTGACTGAAGACAACTTGCTTGCCAGTGATTTAACTAAAGCATGGTCTTCTCAACAATCTCTTTTCTGATTTTGCACAATGTAATTTAATAATGTAGTTAACAGTATAGTTGCGATTGCATAGGCTTTGCTAAATAGGGATACGTGTGATCCAGGGTGTCTTGAAAATAAAAGCAATAGAATTCTTTACAGTTTAATATTTTTCTTGAAAATGGTTGCAGTTAGTGATAATTTCCCATCAGGTACACAGAGGCAAAATGGAGTTAATTTGTTCTTCGGTTAACTTTTGGCTAATTGATGTTGAGCAATTAAAAGAGCCACAAGTAATATAATGAGACTTTTTTTTAATATTGAAATATGTATAGATCATTTTATCATTTAACCTGCCCCCAAATTACACTGTGAAATAGGTAAATATTCTTATAGGGTTTTCTAGATGAAACAAAAACAGATGGTAAATATTTTTTTAGGCACGAATATCAGTTTTTACAAAATCCTCCATCTCTATTTTTTTAAAAGAAATATGTTTCTATCTTTCTTTAAAGATTCTGTGAAAGCTACTGCCTGGTGTAATTTCTTTGTCTTGCATTGCAGATTCAGCATGGAGTCTGAAGATGCTGTTGCTCCTGAAAAACTAATTGAGGATTTGAATCTCTCAGAAAAACAGAGCAGTCCTACACATCATGCATATATCCCCAGAGTCGTTAAAGAAGGTGTGAGTCAGTTGTCTGACTCGGGTAGAGAGGATGATGATCTCTTCCATGACTGCAAAGACTCTCTTGAATCAGGAGTGGTGGAAGAGAATCACAACAGCCAGACAGATTCTTTAGAAAATGAGGAGGATCTAGATGAAAAAGAATTGCTGGAACTGGAAAAAAACATGTCAGAGGAAGAAAAAGAGGTATGTTTTAAAGATGTATTAAAAAAAAAAGTAAATAGCTGTTTACTATTACTGTGACTCTATAGATACACACTTGGAAATAATTGCAGTTGTTTGCAACAAAAATATTTGTGTTTCTATTTCGAATGCTAATATGTAGGCTGTTAAACACTCCTTGTTCAGTCCAAATTTTCTTTCAAAATGTGTTCCTAATAGCGTTTGCAGCCTATCTTCATATTTATTCAGAAGTATTCCCACAGAGCTGCATGGAATCCGCTTCCTAGTTAATTTGTAAAGACATTCAGGTTGTAGTGTGTTAGTAAATATGTTAATATGTGGCATTTTGGTGATAAATACTGGACCAGCACTCTGTCGTCTCCTCGCCCTTTGTTCCTGGTTCATACCTAATATGTTTGTTTAAGAAAAAATATTTCTGATTCTGCTGTGTATAATTGCAAGCTTTGTCATTCTTTTCTCATATGTATAAGTGTCCTGTGTCATGGTTTTTTTCTTATCATGATTAATATGATTAATATCATGATTAGTTTTGCTTGCCTTCTGTTTATTTCAGTTCCATATATTACATTATATTTTGCTTGTCATTCTCTAAATCTGAAATGGGCGGTGTGCATCTTCCAAAGAGCTGAATGCAGTCTGTGTTTTTCTTGGATTTTGAGTGTAAGAAATCCAAGTCTCATGGACTTTTAAAAATGAGCTGGATGAAATAGCAGCTTATACTGGTGGTTGGATTCATTGTACTGGTCCATTGTAAAGAAGACTGCCTTGAAGTAAGAATAGCCTCATTAACAAGAAGTGCTAATCATGATGCTTTCAAGTGATATGATCTGTTTGGATCTTAATTTTCTACCTGTAGATTCAGGTTTTATTTTTAGCTTTGTTTAGCTTTAAGAATGCCCATACATATTAATATTTAAGCATTTTGTTACAGTATGTTTCTCATTTAACAGAAGCAGCAATATTTTTGTCCTACAGCTTTAAATTCCCATGCTGATAGATTGTTTTTGTAATTTTTGTTTATTGGAATCTAGTTTCTAAAAAGAATCAAATCATAGATGCATTGTTTAAAGTTGCTGCCTGAAGATAGAATTGAACTACTTGTGTGCAGAGAGCTAATTTTCCATGTGAGGAAAAAGGATGTGTGATTCAGCAAAATGTACCTAAGCTTGGAATTTTCCATTTAAGCTTTTCCAGTCAGCTTACAACTTATATCTGAAGAGGCTAAAGTCACACATGAAATATATACACAATAAAAAAATCTTGTAGAGATTTGCTTTGTCTAATCTTTTTTGTTACTTACTGAGAAGCTACACAAATGTTGTAACCTGACTGTTGAATCTGCTATTTCCTGAGCTGATAATCCCCATCTTGCTTCCTTCCAGATGTGTTAGCTATGCTAGGTGGGAATGATATGAATTGTAGTCTAGCGTGTTTGAAATAATACTGGGATTTATTCACTTTCTATTAATTCTGAATTAATATCAAAAATGGAGGAATACATAATAATGTACTACTGAACAAAACTCCATTTTTTACCCTTTGAATATCTTCCTTGACTCTTAAATTTTGACCCTCTCGATATGTACTATAGTTTAATTTTCATTAATTACGATACTGTATTGTTTGAGGGTGGAATTAAATATTTTAGCTATTAAGCTTCTAAAAGGAAACATAGATACAGCTTGCATTATTGATATAGCTTGCAGCATTCTGTTAATAATAATGTACTTGGAAATTCAAATGTAGAAATGTGGAAAGTCAATATAATTGAATGTGTTTGAAGCAGTCTATTTTTAAAATTGAAATCAGCCAAACTATTTGATGTTATAGATGATTATCAATATTTTGATTGCAGTGTTAGATTTGGGTTATCTTAGCTGTTAAAACAGGACCCAAGGTATGTATTAGTTATATCCCTGGTACAGGATAGATAGACTGTTGCCTTGAAACCACTTGAGTTCTTGTGATGTCATAACACCTGATCAAGGAAACAGATTTGAGACACAGCCAAGATTATTAAGGACTGGAGTCAGGCAATCATGGATGTAAGGAGAAAAGGACCATGGGAAGACTGTGTGCTAGAGGGAAATTGGGGTAGAGAATATGTTTAGATTAATTAGAACTAAACTATGAAAAGAGTGAGGGGATTAAGAGGTGAAGGGAAGAATTAAGAAGCTAAGTTTTGTGAAAAGTTGAGAAACAAAGCTACACATGTTGGGTGGAGACTGTACAACTTCCAGTCCTCAAACCTCTTTTCCAGTCCAGCTATTGATTAAGTGGTGTTTCATAAATTATTCATGTAATTTTTATCAAGCCTTGGAGACTGAAAAATACATGGTAGCAAATAACATTTGTTTTTCTACAAACGTTGATTGACTCTAATTCACAGAGCTAAAAGTGAGATAGGATTACTAAAAATTGTTTTTAAAAACTCTTGTTTATATGTATGAAGTCATATTTTAGGCTGTGGCTCGATTTTGTGGTTAAGAGTTGGAGTTGCAAGACTAAATCCACAGTATGGGGTGTCTTGGGGCTTGTGTCTGTCACCTCTTTTTAATATCTATATGAGATAGATGGAAGAGGTAATCCGACAGTGCAAGATGCGTTATTAATATGCCAAAGATACTCAATTACACATTTCTACCCCTGGCTGGACATGCAACACTATCGCAGTCCTGGCCCACTGCCTGGGGGCTGTAAGGATTTGAATGAGCCAGCTCAGGATTCCATAGTTTTTATTTTATGGTTTTGATTCTTTTGTTATTTTTACTGTTTATTGTGTCTTATAAAGTCTTATTTATAAATCTTTATAAAGTCTTACAAAATATAAGTGCTTGTCATATGAGCAGTAGTATCTACTCTGTACAAAATTATCTATCTTCAGGCTTGGGAACTAGCCTGAATTGTGTCTGCACTATTTGTATTATTAGATACCAGTTGGTCCTTAATTTTTTTAAAAAATTAGTAGTTTGCCTCTACATATTACTAGAAAAGTATTCATTTCCAGAATTTTAAGTAGTGAAATCTCATAGTACCGGTTAGGAGGTGCCATCTAAATTTTTGAAGTATGCTTCCTACGAATTTTAAAAAATAACCATAAAACAGGGAGGTAAGATATCAGACAGTAAAAAACTTGGTAGTATTTGCTATATGTCATAAAAAATTGATTTTAATTTCAGACAGTGCTAACAAATGTTAATTATTGTATTAATTCAAAAATTTCTGTTGTAGAAAAGAAGAAATGAAAGCACAACATTAAAAGAAGAAGGAAATAAACAGTTTAAAAATGGAGGTAAGCAAATGGCTTATGATAATATTTAAATTTTTGTTAGTGTTTGGGCCTCCAAATGCTGCCTAAAGACAGATTCTAAGGTGTGTAGAATAATTCTTCCAGAATAACTATCGCAGTCAGTATGGTCCAGATTAATAAGAATGCAACATATCTGGACATCCGGTAGTACAAGACTAACAATTAATGCAACATAGTATTCAAGGAAATCCTTAAAGAATTTATCTAGTCTTATTTTTAACTAGCTATCTTTGGGCTATATAGAATTATTTCAATATAAGATTTTATCATAGTATTTAGAAATTATCTTAAGGCTCTGTAAGTTAAGGCCGTAGGAATGAAATTTAATAATGTATGAGTGGACTTCTGTTTGTGTAACACACTTTATCTGTTTCAAACTTGTCACAGTAATCCAGAGCAGATTTTGGCTTGGAGGTGCGAGGTGACAGAGGATGATAATAATTTTCTTCCTCTTATGTTGATGAAAACCTTCCTATGTTGGAGAAAAAGCTGCAAGGTTGCTTACATTTAGATGATAGGATTGTTAGATTCAATGAAAGCCACATCTTGATAGAGATAAACATGAGTCATTTGCCAGCTATTAATACTAACAGGTTTCCTGGGCATAATCTTTCAGTGACAATTCCAAATTTTCATCTTAAAATGGTTGAAAAGTAGCCCATGGCTGCTTCCTTTGTGCATCAGATTTACCGGACCTGGGCTTGAGTTGAATGGCAACTTGCTATAACTGAGGTGATTTTGGAGAGGAAGCATATTCTTATTGGATTTTCTCCTAGTTCAGGGGTCAGCAACCTGCAGCTCCGGAGCCGCATGTGGCTTTTTGGGCCCTCTGCTGTGGCTCCCTGTCAGGTGATCCCACCACTGGCTGGCCCTGCCCCTCGCCCTTCCCTCCCAGTGACTCCTCGCCTATCCTGAGAAGGTAAGGGCGACGGTGGGGGATGGAGAAGCAGCCAGGGCAGAGACAGAGAGATACAGAGAGAGAGACATAGAGAGATACAGAGAGAGAAGAAGAGAAGGGGGAGGGAGGGAGGGAGAGGAGAGAGAAATACGTCAAAAGGATTTTGTGGTTTCCAGTGTTTTTTAACAACTGGTTCTCTGCCCTAATGACCGGCTGGGTAGGCGTGGCTTGGGGGGGTGTCATGTGACTGGTGGAAGTGAGCGACATCGAGTTGGCCACGCCCACCCAGGTTTTATGGCTCCCTGTGTTTTCTTTTCTTTGGGAAAAGGGGCCAAATGGCTTTTTGAGTATTTAAGGTTGCAGACCCCTGTCCTAGTTGCTTTTCCCAGTCTAGGTAGTCCTTGACTTATGACCATAATTGGGACTGGACTTTCTGTTGCTAAGCAATGACCTAAAGTGACATCATGTGGCTGCATCCATTAGCGACTGTTGCCATTGTTAACTAACAATCATGGGTTGCTAAGTGAGTGCCCATCCAAATCCAAACCATTCCAACATGCTCTGCGGAGTGTGTGCTGGTTGACCCTACAACCATTGCCCTTCCTTGGGCTTCCATTGGCTGAAGGCCTCTCCCCTTGTTTTGTTGGTTCTTCATGAATATCTCAACACAGCTACCTTGTGGATTATGCTGAGTTAACTACCGTATTTTCCGGCGTATAAGACAACTAGGTGTATAAGACGACCCCCGACTTTTCCTGTTAAAATATAGGGTTTGGGCTATACTCACCGTATAAGACTACCCCTCTTCCAACGCACACCAAATAAAAATTAAAAAACATCAACTGGCTCACCCACAATGTAAAAGCAGCTGTGCTAGACCCAAAATGGCCCCTGCAACAAGCAGGAACCTCTCACAGCCACAAAAAGCCCCAAAAAACAACTTTCACACTTTACACACACAAAATTCCACATACAGCTTTGTGAGATTTTGTGTGTTTGTGTAGTTAGAGTGAAACACTACAGAAACACACTAAATCTCAGAAAGCTGCACAAATATTATTTTATTTTTATTTTTATATGAGAACTAAATTTAAAACTTCCTAAACTTTAAATGGCTAGGTCTAAAAAAGAAATTAAAAAAAAACCCAATTAACTATTTTTTTAAAGCTCCCAAAGGGGGAAAAAACTTACCCAATAGAACAGGGGTCTCCAACCTTGGCAACTTTAAGACTTGTAGACTTCAACTCCCAGAATTCCTCAGCCAGCTTTGTTTTGCTGGCTGAGGAATTCTGGGAGTTGAAGTCCACAACTCCCTGCCTGCTTGATTGCAGCAGGGAGTGGCTTGCTGATGGAATGGATTCAGGCAAGCGAAGCAAGGCAAGCGTTGCGATTAGCAGCTAAGGTAAGCAAGCTGGAGGGGGAACACTTTTCTTTCTACAGGGCTCTGGCAATCCCAGCTGCGTTGCCTGATTGGCAGGCAACTCAGCTGGGATCGTCAGAGCTTGCAGAGCCACGTAAAAGGAAAAAAGTTTTTTCCTTTTACATGGTTCTGGCATCTCAGCTGAGTTGCCTGATTAGCAGGCAAAGCTGGGATCGCCAGAGCTGGGATCGCCAGAGCCATTTAAGGCTCGTCAGAGTCTTTCGGGCTGGTCTGCCTGGTTACAGGAGAACGACACCCGGCGTATAAGACGACCCCCAACTTTTGAGAAGATTTTCATGTGTTAAAAAGTCGTCTTATACGCCGGAAAATACGGTATCTTAATCCAGGAATTAATACAGTGGAGGCAATTCCACATAAACATCATGTTTTGGAACTGACGGAATCAAAAAGAGAAATCTCTTCTAAATGAGGAAAATGGAAAAAAGGCAGCAGTGTCACCATTTCCTTTATCTTCACTGGAACCTTTAATTTTTCTGCAGCCAGTCATATGCCCAGTCTAGATTTTAATGCCCCCGGTGTTTCTGGATTCTCTGAAAGTTCTGCTGAACTTTTTCAGATTAGGCTCAACTTCAAAAATGAACTTTGAGAATTGCCAGATTATTGTTATTGAGAGTGCTTGGTTTCCAGATATGATTGCTCCTGTGATTGCTCTTATAACATGGTGGCATCATGGCCTCTGTTCTTTGTTTGGAAGATCCTTAGAGTCTTTATCATATGTCTCCTGTTCTTGATCCTATATAATATTAGTTTATGATATCATCTTTCATATTCTTGAGTGCAGGACGAATACCTTATGAATTACAGGGATATTAATTGATAGGGTGGTCAGTTCTTTTCCAGAAGATAATGGATAATGCATTCTTCCTATCTACTGTAAATTTTCTTTCTTTGTCGTTGATTTTTGCCACCCATATATAGAATTAATAGCTAGTTTCTGATGCTCTCACTATTGCCATTGGCTATTTTTTAAGAGCTATCCTATAAGTTGTTGCTTATATTTTAATAAATTAGCAGTAGATGTAATAAAAACAAAAGGGTTTTCAGTTATTAATCTCAATTTTAGGATCGACAAATAATATAATCGACAAAAAATGCATTTGTGTCCCACCTTTTTTATTTTTATAAGTAACTCAAGTTGGCTCAATACATAATATTCCTTCCTCCTCCTATTTTCCCTACAGCAACAACCCTATGAGGTGGATTGGGCTGAGAATGATTGGCTGAAAGTCACCTAGCTGGTGTTCCATACCTAAGGCGGGGCTCAGATTCACAACCTCCCAGTTTCTAGTCTAGTGCCTTAACCATTAGACATGTTAATATATGTATTGAATATATGTATAGTATAGTGCATAGAAATACAGAAATATAGTAAACTGCTTCTAAAGAAATACAAGGCTTCTACCCAAGTAGAATATATGTTATCCTACATTATATAATATATCTTCCTATGCATCTTTCTTACCAGAACCAAGGTCACTGCAAAACCATGAGTGTGTGAAAACAAGTTTATTGTTCATTTATTGATTTGGAGAGTGTGTAAGATAAAGAGGCTTGAACTGTGGAACACTTGCACAAATAATGGAGTTTAGGCTTGGTTGCTGAATGCTATAGGTGGAAGCATGAGAATAAACATTTGCCAAATAGTTTAGGGAGGGAGCTAAGATTATATATTTTCCCCTTGGTTGTTGATGGGTTTTTTGGATGAATAAGGAATGCTTGTTGGAACAATGAGCTGTGTTGACTGGGAATACAAATATGCATGCATTTTTGTATATAGGCAATGCTGAATTGTTGGCTAACAACCCAACTTCTTTTGTAGCAAATGCTGGATTGATTCTATGACTCAGGAGGAATATAGTCCTCAAAATTAAAGTATCAAAAAGCAAGATAACTGCTTGGTAAGCAAAATTGGATGAAAGAAAATGCTAATTGTACATAAATAGTAGAAAATGAGAGCAATTTGCATACATTGATAGACTTCTTACTAAAGGTAGGATAATGAATGGAGAAATGTTCAAATGATGGTAGGCAATGGATAGTAGGTAGCCTGTTGTAAGAAATTAACATTTGCCAAAGGAAGCAAGAGTTGGATATGTGAGGAAAATGCACAGAATGCAGTGGATACTGAAAAACTGTGGGATAAAACAAAAAGAGAGAGTGTCAAGCATTAATGATGTGAATGAATGTGGATTGAACATAAAAGGGTTAGGTGTTTTGATTTTATAGAAAGAATTAATAAAATTAAATAAGGGGTCAAGAACAAAAAATTGCAGTTAGATGGAGTTAATAAGATCCTGAAAAAGAGAAAAGTAGGAAATTTAAACAATAAAAATCAATGGGTAGCACATTATATGGACATAATAGAAACAAGGCTTGATTGCAGAAATAAAAAGATGACAGGTATAGTGAATGGTGTTGAAGTAAATTAGATTTGGCTGTATTTCCTTTATTCTTCTTGCCTTGGGTCAATTTCTTTGTTTTACTCTTTCTTACTCTTTTTTCTGCACCTACTTGCCTGCCCCCTCCCCCATAATGTCTGTGTGTGTGTGAGAGAGAAAGGATGGGGGAGAAAGAGAGAGGGAGAAAGAGAAAGAACAGCAAAGCTAGTCTTAAATAGTCAACCAAGGAAATATAATACTTCATAGTTTCAAATTGTTCACATTCTATTTTCATTCTTGAGGGGTCTGTTTTGGTTATATAAGAATTGGCCCTTTGTAAATGGATCTATTACTATGGTTGTCCACATTTTTGTTTCCTGGTCTTGGTACTTTTTAAAATTTGTGCTTGGTATAATTATGGGAATGATAGACTCTCTTGAAGAAAGTCTTTATGTGGTTTATGTGGTTGCTAGGAGTCAAAAGTGGCTTAATGGCATATAATCAATCATAATAATAACCGTGAACCATCTTTGAGAGCAGTGGTTGTCACAGTGTTGCCTGGGGACCGATGAAATCAAATAAGGGTTTTAACATTTCTCAGTTTTAATTTCTAATACAATACATATTAATAGATATAACTCACATAAACCAAAGCTCTTTGGGACCCTTAAACATTTTGAAGAATGTAAAGGCTCTTGAGAATCACCATTTGAGAACCACTGGTGTAGAGGCAAAAATAGGATTTTGTTGACATTATACTTTATGAAAGCCTGGCATGATAGAGGAAGCTTTTAGAAAGTACAGGTAGTTCTTGATTTATGACCATTCATTTAGTGACCATTTGAAGTTACAGAGGTGTTGAAAAAATGAGTCCTTGCACTTATGATAGTAAGCAAAGTCAATGGGGAAGTTGGCAGGAGCTGGTCACACAACATCTTGCTTTACGACCTCAACACTTACTGTTGAATTTTCCAGTCCCTTTTCTGGTTGTAAATTGAGGACTACCTGTATGTTTGCTTATAGTGCATTCATGTATCCACTTATGTATGCCCGTTAAACATATTAGTCCATAGGCACTTGAGATATTGACTCCTAAGCTCTTAACGAAAATCTTATTTATAGTATTCCAAAAAATTGCAGAAAAAGCTCTGTGAGTGATAGTTGGGTTTTGAAAGAAAAAACAAAACACAAGCTTCAAAAGCACATTAACATTGCACATCAAACCGAGAATGATACCATATCGGGAATTCTATAAAAGCATAATATATATGAGAAACAGCAATGTAACAATATCTGTTGAAAGTGTTTGCGTTAAAAGGAGAACCTAAATAGAAAAGCATCTCGGAAGTGTTTCTTGGCATATTTTATAACAAAGATAGAAGAAAGATAGTAGTAAAGGCAATAATTGAACAATTTTTGAAAAGAAATAAGGAGAAAAAAGTCATTCCCAGAACTGGGAAGACTCTTTGGGAAAAAGTGATGTTGGGTGCATTCTTTGTGCATTCTTCACGAAGGTTTACATTCTTCATGATGTTCTTCATTTGGAAAACTCCTTTATCAGAAGAGTATCTGCTTCTGTTTAGTTTTCCAGAGTATTTCAGTTTCCTGGATGTTTTGCTTAGATAAAGGTAGAAACTCAGTCTTGGGAGACCACATGATTCTTGACAACAGTATGAAGTAAATTGTTCTTGCTTTCCTTTGAATCATGATTTAAATGACTAGTAAAAAGGCTTGATTTAAATCAACTCGATTTAAACCATAATTGTTAAAGAGCAACTGTCATCTCTGCTACTCCTTTGACCCACTGTTGACTCACCGATAGTCCCAGTGTTGCAGAATATACAGCCTATAACTAAGCTCCATTTCATGCTGAATAAACTAAATTATTTATGTATCTTAAATAGAAAACTATCTTACGATAGATTTTTACCCCAAAAGTTTTTTATTAAAATAAATTTGATAAAAATCAAAAAAATCCGATTTAAATCAAAAAAATCCGATTTAAATAAAAAAAAATCTGATTTTTTTTAATTTTTTTAAAAAAATCATTGATTTTATCCACCCTGCTCAGCCTTCAACTCTGGGATTTGGTGGTACCCCTGCAAATACTAATGAGGCCTGGCCCTGTTTAGCTTCCCTAGCCCAGACTATTCTAGCCAGATGCTGAAACATGCTGTGTTTACCACCTTTTAAAAAAATTAGTATTCTTGCATATTAGTGACAACCTGAGTTTTTCTTGGGAAAAGATACATGCCATCTGAAGAGAGCAAAAACAAAAAAGCAAAAAAAAAACACCATAGTAAAGAGCCAAGTTTCACTTGGCTAGAATTGAATTCTTGGTTGCCATCAAATTCTCTCATATTCTAACCCACTTTCCTAACTGGCTTTTCTTTATTGCCTTTATTGGAACCCTTTCACACATGCAGCTCTTTGTCAGTATTTCAGAATGGCAAGGCCTGCTATTATAGACTCCTTATGCACTTGTCTTGGAGACTATTATATCATGTGGCTATGGCTGAAACTCTGGAAGGAAAGTACAGTTTTATGTTTAGTAATATTTATTTTAATTATTAATGATTAACACTGGGATATATTTTGATCCAGAAGCAGTTTTCTCCTCTCTTGATGCCATTTTTCATCCTTCCATCAAACCCCAAGTCTGGGAGTAGTTTAAAATGACATCTATATTTTTTGCAATTAATGCACACCCATATACTGTATATTCCTATCTAATGCCTTTTAGTACCAAAGGATACTCTTATCTCAATTGGTCCTTTAAACCAAGATTTTATTGTATGTGGCCTTGCATTTTATCAGTATTTTTTTAATTTCATAAACAATTGTCCAAATTCATTCTACAAAGGGAAAATAAACCAAGAAATAAAAAAGAATTGACAGCTTTAATGCAGATAACACACCTATGTTATGTTTATTATCTGGTTGTTGGTTACTGTTGCAGGATCTGTTGGTTCATGGATCAACTGCCAAACTGTTAATTTACAGTGTAATTTAGGATTATAGTTGTTCTGCCGAGATTTGTAAGGAGGAGGGTTTGGACAATGAATAGTGGTATTTCTGGTTTCTTTGACACATCTGTACAGTTTCAGGAATAGGCTAATTTTTTTTATTTTTCACTGTACAGTCATGTTGGGAGCACTGAAGTGCTTCTGGGTTGAAAGGTGACATCACTGTTGCCCGGGGATGCCTAGTTGGGGGCTTCTTTAAGTTGCCCACTGAAGTGATAATGATCTATCTACTCATAGTCACCTGCTTTTGAACTGCTCGGTTGGCAGGAGTTGCAGCGTGTGATGGGAGCTCACCCCGTCCCACAGCAGCAACCAGATCTCGAACATGACTTTGCCAATCGTCAACACAGTATCTAACTTCGTGAGCCACTGTGCTTCTTTTTATTTTTCACTGAAGTGTCAAGAAAAGAAATTAAACAAGATATGCAATATGTAAATTGTGTGCATCCTTTACTAGAAAAGTTGCAGACAGAAGACTTTCACTGTTTGTAGAAATTTGTTTCTGGAACATGGGTGTATTCTGCATATTAATTGATTCTGCATATTAATTGATAATATTATCAGTAAGACAATCTAAGCTTAATGTACATTCTCCAGTATATTGAAATCACTTTTAATGGTGATAAAAAATCTATTGCTGCTGCTATTTTTCCAGAAATTGTTCAGAGTCCAAAAGAGTCAGTCCCATTAACCAGAATAGTAGAGTTCCTAATCTCAGCCAGTGAGTTTATCCCTTTTGTAGCATGTATGAAGTTATCTCCTACAAACTCTTATCCTGCATAGAGCAAAGTTGAATTATTTAAACAATAGTATCCTTGTATTACTACTTAGAACGCCAGAGGCTTTGTAAATGTTTGCTTTTGTCAACCCCACAAAATAAAATAGGAATAACATAAAGAACAAGAAGAAGTCTTTATTAGTTTTTAATTGGATTCTAGCTATCTAAAGCAAGTGTTAACATGATTGTATAATCTGAGAAAAATCCACGTTCTGTTATGCAATATTTTCATGTTAGCATAACCTTAACATACTGTGCATTTCTTTGCTTGGGAATCTCCTTGTATGTAAATATTTTTTATAACTGAATGATATCTATTTACAGAATTGGATTATTCTGAATCTGAGCTATATTTAAAAGTTACGGGTTGATGCTTTGCTTTTAATTCCAAAAGTGAAAAAAAAACCCCTCTTTTGAACTTATGCTGGGAAAGTATACTGTGTCCCACAAATGAGTCATAACCATATTAGGGTTGATTTTTTTTCATATTTCTGCACTGTTTGCTTTTTTTTTTAAATAACCTTTTCTGTTATTATTTTAAAATGAAAAATGATTAAAAATATATAAATGTTCTGCATTGTTTTGTGTTTTTCAGTTTTTTTCCCAATTTCAGTTGGCTTTTTTTTTCTGCCCTAACTGCAGAGTATAAAGAAGCAGAGGATTCGTATGCAAAAGCCCTGCAGGTTTGTCCGGCCTCCTGTAACACAGATAGATCCATTTTGTATTCAAATAGAGCTGCAGCAAGAATGAAACAGGTAATACTAATTTCCAAAATTGTAAAGTGATACGTTTTGATAAATTTTCATTTTGTCAGAACTTTTATGTGCGGGGGAGAGCTGCAGGGAGGAAATAACACCAGGAAAAAAAAAATTGGTTTGGCATTTCAGATACCAGTGCAAATTTATTAAGTTTGAACAGATCTACTACAGCAGAGTGAGTGTCTTGCCAAGCATTTGCTAATTGGCCAGCTTTCCTCTGAAATCCCGACTCTCACTTGAAAGGAATGCTGGGAAAGAGCCTTTGCTATAGCAACGTTTTTCAACCCTGGCAGCTTTTAAGATGTCTAGACTTCTGCTCCCAGAATTCCTCAGCCAGTATGCTGGGCAAACTGCCCTTCCTGTTGGACATATTTAGACCAGGACAGGTGATGAAGGAGCTCTGGATGTTGCTAATTTAGGGAATATGCTTTCTGCCAGCTCTTCTCCCCTTCTCTGGAAAAGGCTGATGGAGGCTTGTCCGAAAATGACAAACATGGATGTATAGTTGTGTTTTGGTTTTTTTTGCTTCACTCACTACAGCAACACAGAGTTGAACATCTCTTCTTGCATACATTGAAGGTGGTAATACAATTTTTGGACTCGAGGCTTATTGATATTAATTATGTTGTATCTTTTTTGACTTGACGTGGTGGCACAGTAGTTAGAATGCAGCGGTGCAGTGGTTAGCATGCAGGATTGCAGGCTAATTGCCCACAGCCAGGAGTTCGATCCTGATCACTTCAAGGTTGACTCAGTCTTCCATCCTTCCAAAGTTGGTAAAATGAGGACCCAGAATGTTGTGGGCAATATCCTGATATTGTAAACCACCCAGGGAGTGCTGTAAAGCACTATGGAGCGGTATATAAGTGCTATTGCTATTTGTTTTATTTTTTACAAATGGAAAATTCTTGGGTATCTTGGAATAGGTTAGCCGACCTACAGATATGAAGCATACCTTTCTTAGCCTCTAGTTTCACTGACTTGCTGCCCCATAGTTCTGGATTTAGATGCTGAGCGATAAACTTTATGCTACCATGTAATCTTTCCCAATCTTTATGAATGTCAGAAAAATTATATTTTATATTAAATGTCAATGTTATCTTTCATTTAGGACAAGAAAGAAATGGCTATAAGTGATTGCAGCAAAGGTATTTTCTTCTCATGCTTTTGCTCTTGGTCAGGATATTATGTTTAGAGACCAGACATGGGAGAGAATATAGGGAATTTGACAGATATCTGATATTATTCTACTAGGATGAAGCCTAAGGGACGTGGTGGCTCAGTGGCTAAGACACTGAGTTTGTCTATCAAAAGGTCGGCAGTTCAGCTATTCAAATCCCTAGTGCCATGTAACGGGATGAGCTCCCGTTACTTGTCCCAGCTTCTGCCAACCTAGCAGTTCGAAAGCACGTAAAAAAATGCAAGTAGAAAAATAGGAAAAAATAGGAAGGTACAGTACATGGAAAATAATTGGGCAATATTTTCGTGACTTTAAAAGAAGAAATGAGTTGGGCTCTAAAATAGGCTGGATAGAATGGAGTAGAGGTAGGGACAGTGAAATCAGATTGATTACCATCACTTTAATCAAGATGCATACTAACCTATGATTTGTTGAATATATAACAATGGACTGGGCTCACGTAGAATATTAAGCCATTAATCAGATAAAATAATTTATGAACTACATTGTTGGTTCATATGATGTGAAATTGAAAGCAGACAATTTTTTCCCCAATCCTATGAATATAGATTCAGGTTCAGTATGATAATAGTGCTAGTAACGTTACGTATATCTGTTTAATCTATTTACTATTTAGCAATGGAGTTATTAATACTGCAGCATGGTTTTACAGGTATCTTATAGAAATACTGCAAGTAAGGAGTATTATTGCTCTCTTTTTTGTTTTTCAGCTCTAGAGTTAAACCCAAACTACATCAAAGCACTGTTGAGGAGGGCAGAACTGTATGAAAAAACAGAAAAACTAGATGAAGCTTTAGAGGATTACAAAAATCTGTTGGAGAAAGATCCATCGGTATATCAAGCAAGGGAAGCTTGCATGGTAAACTTATTTTTGTAATCAAGGAGATGATTATAGTAATACCATTAAAGCACAGAACCTTTCAGGACACTGGTGAAAGATGGCAGTCTAAGAAGCATGATCCCAAAGAATAGGGAGTGGAAAGAAAGGCTGGCACTGAAACCATAATCCTGATTTTTCAAGTTGGAGGATCAGTTATAAGAGATGAGGGAAGAGGATTTTAACAAGCTTCTTGAATTAAAGCTTTTACTTCAGATGTGAGCAAACACAGCTTTGGAATTAAAGTGTGGGAAAAATCTGCCACAGAGGGAACAAAAAGGCCATCTTGATTTTTTATTTTATTTTCTTGTTTGTTTTTGTGACTTTTTGAAGAGCGTTGGCTTTCAAATTCTCAGAACAGATGATAAAGCTGTAGCTTTTTGGTCCCATCCAAAATAATTTGGTTTTAAATTTTTTGCAATGGGTGGTCCTAATAGCCCCTTTTAAAGGGGCTGGTGTGGAGGGTAAAGTATGGAAAAATCACAAAATCAGAATGTTCTTAGGAGAGAATATCATAAAGATGTTCCACTCTTTGCATAACATCATCAACACCTAGCCGTAGGCTTTAATAATGGCTTTGAAGTTCCTTAAATTCTATTATGAAGGGGCTATCTATGTCTCTGAATTATATGACTTGAAAGAAAATCTGTAGTGGTATGATGGGCACATCTTGGATTTGGAAGCCCAAAATTGCATCCAATGAGCTATTTCGCTTACTTAGATGAAAGCAAAATCACTCTTTGACAGGTATGTATGGGTCTCTAATAAATCAGATAATGGCCTGGGTTATATGTGAACTTAAAGCAAGCATTGACAATAATTGTGTCCTTATCTTTTCATCATCAAGTGATGCATCAATCTCTGCACACCGAATAAAGAGTAAATAAAGTTGCTTAATATGTTTGTGGAATTGGTCTTCTGTTTGCTTTTGTTTTTAGAGATTGCCAAAAGAAATAGAAGAACGTAATGAAAAACTTAAGGCTGAGATGTTAGGTAAGTAAATTTTGTATATAGTTTGCTTATGCAGGAGAGTGGTTTCTGTAAGGGTATATGCATAAAACATTGTGGCTTTTTAAAATGGCCTTTTTTATAAAACTTGTAGAATTCCATAGGACCTCGGACTTGTTTCAGATTCTGCCACGTATGAAAAGAAAGGATTTGTGTATATTTATCTTGTCAGATCATTAAAAAAAACTGTTGGAGCTGGGTCACCCTGATCTCTACAGCTACAAAAATAGAAACAGCCTGACTACTGCCACAGTAGAAATACAGATTATTTCATTTTGGCAGTAAGAAACAAACTTTTATATAAAAGCAAACAGCAAAATTGCTTCTGCCATGGGATCTGCAGCATAAAGTCATTCTGAACATGGTAATAATAGACTGGATACAGAGCCTGGTTGCAGATTTTATTGATGTTAAGTTATATCTAGTATGTGGATATAAAAGGCAACTGTTTTTCTCCTCGTTGAGCCAATTGTTTTGTGATGGTGATATAGTTATATTCCTTAGAAAATAGTAAAATTTGTTCATAACAATGTGAAATCGTAGTAGCCAGTTCTTGTAACTAGTGTTGACCTTCATATATATCAAGGTCTTACCCAAAACCTAGGATGTAATGTTTTGGCATAGTATATTGTGTAGATCTAGGCCAGGGGTCAGCAACCTTAAACACTCAAAGAGCCACAAAGGTCCTAACCGGAAGCCCCCTGTTCAATTCTGGAGCCGACCGGAAGTCCAGTTCCCCCACCATAGAGTCTCCTCCTAACGCGGCGTTCTTTTTCCTCTACCTGTCCTAACTGAAAGCCCTATCAACTGTGGAGCCGACAGGGAGCCACAGCAGAGGGATGAAAGCCACATGCGGCTCCAGAGCCGTAGGTTGCTGACCCCTGATTTAGGCAGTGTGGTATTTTGCAATTCTAGATGGAAATTTTGTCAATACACAGATTTTTTAAGTGCTGTCCAAGATACTTTGATATGGCACCCAGTGGGACCACCATGGCCGATTTATGTCATAATCTTTTCATTTTGAGATCTTGATACTTAATACTTTATGATCTCCAATTTTTTGGTATTGTCACATTAATTATCCACATTTTTTTCTTTTCGCTCACAGCTGTATCTGGTGTGTTATGAAACAAAACTTTTATCAGTTTGTATTTGGAAATCCTACAATATATTAATTTGCTCATATTCAACTGCTTTTTCAACTCTGTGTTTTATTACTGGCACATGGCAATTTTTATAAATGTTCCAGTGAATCATTTGGGTGACTGTGTTATGTACAATCTTGCATGAGCTGAGTATATTATCTACTGTTTCTTCTGCTTCTTTGCACAATCTGAATTTTTAATCAATTGATGATTTTTTAAATTCTGGCCCTGATTGCATTAATTTGAATAGCTTGCTCTTCCACAGCCAACACTAACCCTTCAGTTTCTTTTTTAAATGTTCCAGTTGTAAGCCAATGCCAGGTTTTATCTTTATCCACTTCTCCTCAGTCTTTTGTAGAAATTGTATAATGATGATGGTGATTGGTATTGCAAATCATCACCTGGTATTGCAATACCAGCTGATGCATGAATTGAAAAGAAACAGATAGAAAAAAAATAACAAAATATAGTGATTTGCAAATTAAAGTTAAGTGACTATGGAGGAAGAAATCAATCGTTGTACCAATACCAATAGTAATAGGAGCCTTTGGGACAATACCCAAAGGGCTGCCTAGATATGTGGAAAATTTGAAATTATTAGACCTGAATATCCTGGCTTTGCAAAAAAAATAAAACAGCAACAACAGCAATCCAACCTACTCGGAACTGCTAGGTGCTTGGTTAGGACTTGGACTGTTAAGTTTTTACCAGTCCCAGACTATGAATCAAATTGAAGATTAACAACAACAACAACAATTGTTATTATCGGTATTTATACCATCTACTTTCCCCCAAAGTCTCTGAGAGGTGCAAAAGGTCATTTCACTATGGAATACTTTTAAAGAGTTAATAATAGTTGCTGAAAGGTCAGCAAATGGAAAAACATCCAATTCTTTTCCATGCCCGATTCCTTTTCATTAGAAACTAGTTTTTGCTTCAGTATTTGCAACACTTCAGAAGGGATAAGTGCCTTTCTGAATTTAAGTCTTATGAAGATCTTCAAGTCATTTTTTGAATGGTTCAAAACAAGATAGAACAATGTTTTTGTTTGAAATTGAAAAAAATACTAGTAGTGTAATTTTTAGCTGGATTTTAGTTTCAACATGTTCTTATAGTTAAATAATAGTGAAACTGATATTTAAAGTATTTTTTTCAAAGCAGTAGAGCAGAGTTTTATGCCAGTTCTATGCTTGTACTGAATCAAACTCTTTGTGGATATCTGATTTCAGTTTAGTCAAACACAAATTGTTCGTTAAGCAAAGAGAAGGCTTATTCAGCTCAGTCTTTGCTTTCTTGTCATTCATCCACATGCTTACTTTTGATTTTGTTTTTCATGGTCTTAAGGCAGGGCTTAATCTGGGCTGCTCTCAGTTTCGATTCTTCATAAACTTTGTATTGTCTAATTACTACATTAGAGGGCAGTATGGGTTCTTCTCATCCTTTTTAAAATAAAAATGTTAACTAAGGAGTTCTAGAATTGAGGATGAACACAGTAGCTGTAAATAATTGTGATTAAAAAGTGGGTAGTAGCAAACAGAGTCTTTCAGTTTGAAAACAGGTGTTCTGTTTACCACCGATCTGTCAAAAACATGCTGTGGGAATTATGAAGCCCACAGGAGTTGTACTGGAGATATAAATTCAAAGGGAAAAACTGCATGTAATACATCATGGTGGAGCAAATTTCGGACATGTAACATCTTTTCCCCTGGAGTCTTTCTTAAAATGACCGTCTTCGGTGAAAGTGTGTGATATTCTTCTTATGTTGGTATTTCTTAAACAGAATTCTTAAAAGTTCTTTTAAGACTTCCTTCTTCCGTACAGTATGTTAGAAGACATCCCTTCCATTATTGTGCTAATTCGTTAAATGTATCTGAAGGTGTGAATTTTTTTATGTATGTGTATTACAGGCAAATTGAAGGATCTTGGGAACCTGGTTCTCCGTCCTTTTGGCTTATCAACGGAAAACTTCCAAATGAAACAAGATTCCTCAACTGGCTCCTACTCTATCAACTTTGTTCAAAATCCAAATAATAACAACCGATAACACTAGCCCAAACTGCATGTGGCAAATGTTGGGCTTTGAGGCTTAACGGTGATGTTGTTTCGGTGAATGCAAAAAGGATGAGTAAACATTTAATGCATAACGCCATTCTTTAAACTGGGAGGATTTGAACTGAGACCTATGCATTGTGTATATGTGTGTGTGTGTGTGTGTGTGTGTGTGTGATTCTTTCAAAAGAGGTGGGCAGAAGAGGACTGATATTTGACCTTCGCAGTGATATTTCGTGCACTTTGGCCACTCTGCATCTTCCATCTGAGGAGGGATGGGGGTTAGCTTTGCAAGTTTAGAAAAATGTCAGTGCGTCTAAACCTGTAGCCATTGTACAATCATTTCATCATTTGTGAAGTTTGTAAGTCTCTTTGAAGGGCAAAGAAATGTTTCTCTATTTAGAGAATCTACTTTTACCTTACAGATTAATAAATCATTCATGTTATTAGTGCCTGTCTTTTAATTCAAAGTAGCCATTTCAGTGCTAAATGTTGCATAATAGCATAAATTCTCTTGTATGAGGGAAAGTGGTTATTAGCATCTACATACTACTACAAGCTCCCTTCCCCAGATGATTTTATTTTATTGTATGCTTTTTTTAGAAGACACTTTGATGGGCTTTTAAATACATCTATTTAATTAATTTATTTTGAAAATCCTCCCCCCCCCCCAAAAAAATGGGGGCATCTGGTAAAACAATTCAAAGTTCTTGATCACCAAAAAATGTTAGTTTGTTTGCAACGTTCTCTGGTTATAAAGCAAGTTGGCTATCCCTGCTTGGACATGCCTACTAAACCCTTAACTCTTTCTCGGATTGGTTTCCACAAAATGTGGAATACATAGGCAGCTTGTTGTAATTTCTATCAGTATCATAAAAAGTATATTATGGTATTTAAATATGCTTTTATTATATTTAGTTTCATCTTTAAGGAATGGTATGCAATTGTATAATTTGTACCAAACACCATTATTCACAAATAGTGTTCAAACATTATTACTACACAGCCTTCATTTCAATAAGACTTCAAGATAGGCTGTTTTGATCAAAGAAAAAAAATACAGCGCATAGAAATTCTTCATGGTTAAAACATCTTTTTGCAAATTTGAATGCACACTTAGCATTTATATGGAATTGTGACGTATTCAGAGTGAGAAAGTAGTGAATATGGCACATGAAACATTTATTCTATTATCCTTTCTATTAGTACTTTGTAATATCTTTGGCAAGAATAACAGCTTCCAAATATTTTCTGTAGCTAACTGGGTCTTTCTGTTCTTGCTTTTGGAATTTTTCTTATTCTTCCATGCAGAACTCTTTTAGTTGAAAAGATTATTGTGTCTTCTCTCACACACTGTTTATTTGAGATCGCCCCTCAGATTTTTAATAATACTCAAGACCAAGAATTTTAGGCCATTTTAAAATGTTCATCTTTCTTTCTAATAAGTACTTCATGGTTCACAAATAGAGTTGTTTATGCCAATTGCATGAGAGAGCTGGCAGAAGAAAGCCTTTTCTTTAATCTCATCTCAAAAATAATTACCCTACTTTTTGGAGTATAAGACACACTTTTTCCCTCCTAAAAGAGGGTGGAAATGTTGGTGCATCGTATACACCGAATACAGCCATTTTTTGGCCTCCCGAAGCCCCGCCCTGTGTGTTCCGGGGGACGGGGTGCGCAGAGGCTTTGGGAGACCTGCAGAGTGCTGCTGTGGGCTGGGGATTCGCGAAGATAATGATGCGGGATGCAAGATTTGCTGTTCTAGGAGAGAGATTTCTGGTAATCTCTTCTGGTAGCCCCAAACCTAGCTTTTGGCAGCTGGATTGTTAGTGCTCTTGGCCTTAAGTTGATGGTAACATTAATAAGGCATTTTTAATAAGCCTGTGTTTATCTATAGCTTGATTGAGGATGAACAGGTAGATCTCATGTGCTTTACTGGGACCTCTCTGGGCAAGGGCACCAATGTTGTTCTCTTGGAGATTCTATTGTTTCATGTCATCAACCAGTATCAGGAAGAGAGTAGTGGCACTGATCTATAAGTGAGCAAACGTAAGTGCCAATTTATTACACTGAGCTGTAAGAACAAGTTAAGCATCCTCCTGGCATGATCTTTCAATGATTTCTGGACCTGATCTTGTTGCTGGCATTGGAATTGTTTTGCCTATTGATACTGGGCAATTTCAGATGCCCAGATGTCTTGTTGGGTCTGGACAGATTTGGGAGTACATGACTTCTAGCCAACCATTACCTTGTCCCTTGTGATCTCAGGCCCTACACATTAAGAACAATTGTTTAGTGATCTGCATATGGAGAGTATAACATTTAGTTCTTTGCCCTGATCAGATCACTTCCTGGCCAAGATAACATTGCTGTCCATGACCTCTGTGGGCTGAAGGAGCATTCATACTGCCTGTCCCAGATGCTTTATTTATCCAGGTGGATTCGGGGGCGGGGAGGGGGGAGAACGGGGACTTGAATAATTTTCCGAGACAAATTAAATTACAACTATAAGCAAACTATAGTGGAGGATAATGAGAAAAGTAATACCATCTATTTAAAAATAAGGAGGCATGTTGTATTCTCCTACTGCAGTAAAGTTCACTAGGTTTAGTGGCAGTGAAGGGAATACTCCCTTCCCCTTACCTATTCTGCAAAATTATAAATTCTAGAAGTGGTGTAATCTACATTGTTTAGAAAGCCATTGTCTTCTGTTGGAATTACTGTTAGCTATCTCTGCTTAATATTACAACTTTCATTAATCTTTTACTGTCAAAGAAGCAAACAGAGGAAGAGACAGCAACATTGCTTGGGATAACTTTTTAAAAGTGCAGAGAGAACAAATCAACATTTTATTTCAAAACATGGTACACAACAATTCTTGAATATTTAACTTCAGGCAAAACTGTAAAAATTTAATATTTTTTTCCTTATTCAAGTCTACCAAAGAAAGGAGGCATAGTGACATAATATACGGACGTAAAAGGTAACATGGAGCAAAGCTTAAATATTAAGCAACTAAAGAAAAAAGCGAAAAGCAATATATTACTTCTACCACTAAAAATTTCCCTGACAGCATAATCTCAAAACGAAAAACAAGGTGGTTGCAGTTCAATTCTTCATGAGCAGTATAAATAGTCATCTTGTTTCTTTTTCAAACATATATCCCTTCTTTTCTACACATAAAGTAAGCTGTGGCTTCTCCACATCATTGAATTACGGTGGTAAAATAGGCAGAATTGGTGTGTTTGAAGAAAAATAAAACCAGAACTCTGGTTAACAGTGGGATGTTGTCTATGCAGGCACTATTGGCTCCGCCCATAATCAATATATGTACCCTTGTTTGTATAGATTGATACCATTTTCCTGAGTAGAAACTATCGCTTTGTGCCATGGTGACTCCCTCAAGCTTTATGCATTTTTTCAAGTGAAAAGACATTTTAAATTAAGATACTTTTTAAAAAGCATTTTTCCTTCGGAATAGATGCATTATCTGCACTATCTCATTGAAGCTTCTTTTAAACCTTCTTCAAATTAGTTTCAAATAACCTTTTTTGAATGAAAAATTGAAAAAAAAAAGCCTACACCATTTCTCTTTTGCTTTAACATCAGTGAAAAGAGTACTGCAGAACCTTTAAAAGTCACCAAATTTCTTATGAAAGTGGGCACAATTGAAATTACAATTAATCATTATTACACAGGGCTTTTTTTAAAGTAGGTGCTCTGGAATCTTTATAAATACTTTTAAAAAATGTTTTCACAGATAATTATTAAATCTTTTAATATAGACTTGTATTGTAATAAACATATTTCCCTTATTTCAAATGCTATTTAAAATATAAATCTGTTACTAAATAAAATAAAGAGGAAAAGTTATGATTGTGACTTGGAAAATATGAACTGGACACTTGCTGTATTTTCTGGAATATAATAATTTTAGAAAAAAATTATCTTAATGTATTTTAATATCCTAAAGACTGAAATCTATATATTAGAAGGCATCCTTGTATTGACATGAAAACTGTTAATTATATCAATCTATATATTGTGCATTTTTGTGACATCACTTTGTCAAGCTAACTGCTGAATTTTGCTTCCGACGCAAGGGTTTACATACTATCAAAATGAGAAGCAGTTTAAAAATACTGAATAAGTAATTCTTTAGGCTTTCAGCGTAATCCAGTGAAAATTTGGCATAACTTATTCTCATTGAAATGTGAAACCACATTGCTGTTAAAAACTCAAGTCCCATTGAGAAAAGATTAGAGGCTTCCTGGGATAGGAAACTTTCTTGTGTAAACCAGCTAGTCTTTAAAATGCCAAGAATGTCTCAGTGGAACATGTTAGTTATGACTAACTTAATGTGCAATACATCACAGTGCTATAAAAAGAAATGTCATGACTTTGGATACCAATTACTATTCCATTTTAACAGTACCTGTTTGTGGCAGATACTGCTGGGTGAACACAAGCAGATAGAAGATCTGTACCTTGTGATGCAGCCTCTATTCTAGCCACCAAACTATTTCCAAAAGGAATGGTCTTTGCCACAATTACTCAAGATAGAAATATGTATTTTCACCCCTTGCTGCTTGCTTTATGGAAAACCTTAGTCTCAGAACACATCTGTCAGCACTTAACAACACAGTTGAATTTGGACATGCTTCCAGTAAAGGATTACAGCTCTGCTAACACTTGCACTAAAGACTAATGTTTGTTAAGATGTAAAATGTAACACACCAAGAACAAAAGAAGAACTTTACAGCCAACTTTCCAGGTGTCTCAATCAGTTCCCGGGGCCCATTCAAACAAATTGCATTTGAAGAGTAATATTACACTTTGTGATTCTTCATTCTGGTACTTCAAGTGGTTCCTTACATATTGAATAGGCTCCTTGGCTCATGCCTTTGTTTATTGCAAAAATAGTTTATAAAATATCAATATTTTAGATTTGAAATTAAATGTACAACACATACAGATTTCCTGGAAATGGGGTACAGTTCTTTTTTTTTTTTTTTTAAGTATCTCAGCATACACCATGTTCTGGATTGCAGAGGAAAGGGGCATTTCGGGTGTATGCAATTTCTGGTTAGCTGACAAACTTCATGCCAGTGCAAGACAGTTCCATAAACACAGCAGATGATTAATGTCTCTGAGCTGAAAAAGAAAAATATGAGTTTATAATGTAAGCTTATTTCTACACATTCATACTATTATAGAACAGTTTTTTTAAAAAAATGGATACGAACTTATTCCACTGAAACAATATTGTAGATATTTAAACTCAATATGAAAGCTAACACAATGTGTCATCAGCATTTTTTCTCTATTTTGTAACCTTTATAAAATAATTCCCTATGACTGTGGATTCCATAGGAAAATGGAGGTGAGTGTACTTTGAAGATCATCTACTGATTTCATAATATAGTTAAGCTAACTTACTGCACATGTTTAAAATATCCAATTGTCTCATTTCTGAGGCATACCATCAATGATATGATAAAACTTCTCATGTTGGGTTTGTAAAAAAATAGTTTAAATTGTATTTAAATTAGAAGTCAAGAAAAGTATGTTTGATAACATACATATTGATTTTGAAGGCTTTATAACTTATAAAGCCTTATATTTATATTAAATATATATTAAAATGGGCAATCAAAGAAAAATATATCAGAGGAAAATAAGGTAACTGGACTATTTGGCATCAAGGACATTAAAAGAATATTAAAAGAGAAGGCAATTGCAGAAAAGCTTAATATTCATTGTAGTTCACTATAGAATTAGTCTTCTAAATACTCATATCAAAACTCCAATTTTTAGGAAAGCAATTTGAGCAATTAGGACAAATATTTGTGAGCAGGGATTGTATTCTAATACAAATTATCCCAAAAGCTAGTTCCAGACATATCCTCCCCACCACCACCACCAAAGCTAGATCCAGATGGTATTCATAAAAGGGTTCTTAATTCAAATGTAAAATGGTTATTTTAAAAAATAAAAATGGGTGGTATTATCCTAGATTTATGCTTGTATTAAAACAACTGGGGAAATGGTATAATGCTAGGAAATTACAGATAAATTGGGTTAATATCTAGTCTGACAGACAGGTTTTGCAGAAGAAAACATCTATAGAAAAGTAAGTTTTATTCCACTACCATTTTACAAATAAGGAGAGAGAGAGAGATGGTAAATGTATGTTCAGGCCAGGAGTATGCCCCTTGTTTCTGTGTGTGTGGGAGCACACTTGAATTTGAGATCATGTGTTAGGTACACACTCAAAATAGCCATATGGATACTTGCTTATCCATCAAATGACAGCCATGGTGCATATGGCTAGTCACAAAATACTTTAACAAAGTCTCTAATCCATGTTTGAATCATAATTTATAGACTATAAGATTATAGTCATCATGACATAGCATCAAGTCCAAATTAGAGAGATGTATGTTATACTATAATGCCAAAGAGGCAGATTGTATAATTTGTATAATGTATGTAACAATGTATGTGGCATTCCCCCAATCTGGGTACTTAAGAGATGACATGAAAAAATAACTTTTGGATTGACAACAAAAGCTTGAAGGACAGAGCACAGTGAATAAAGGTTCAGTTTGGAGCTCAATGCTTTTTAAGTGATGAAATGATGAAAAGTCTCAAAATAATTTATCTTAATTGGAGGAAAAGTCCTTATAAAAAAGTGAAGTAATGTATATTTGGGTGGAATCCATGTGACCTAAGAGAATGTGTTGGGGATACTTTAATAAAAAAAAAACCCAGTTTATGACTGCCATGAAGATGAAAAATTATGCTAGAAATTATATTGTAGAAAAGGTGAAAAGAGCACATATCAAAATGAAAAAAAGCACTGAAACGTATTTTATATAATATATGAAACTTTTAGAAAAAAAGACACAGAAAATAGATGGAAATTCTGATATCCAGATCTTCTAATTCTTCTAAAATGTAGATTTGTCCCAAAAGGTGTTATTCATAAATTAAAAGCAAGTGTGTCCACTTCAGCAGGATGAAATCTGCCAGACCCTTATCCATATTATTATTTGCTTTGAAATAATTTGTGTCAGAATTTATTTGTAAATTAGCCAGAATATTTAATACCTGGATTGATATGAGCAATCCTAAACTCATATGCAAAATCAGGAAACCCTAATATAGCCAATAGAAATCTAATGCTAATGTTTCTGTATCTTGGACTCAAATAATAGACTCCATAATATACTATGTTAGATACATAGCTACTGGTGTCTTAAGCTAAAATGACACCTGAAACAAGGAAGGATAAGTTGGGGGAGGGGGGGAAGAAAGTCAATATAAAACAAAGTCTGTCAAGAGTTTTAGCTTTCAAGAGAAACTGGCATTAGCACTGCAGGTAGAATAATACACTGTACTATTTCCAAGGACAGAGGCATTATATTCTAAAAGTTCCTTATCACTGTACCAATTCACGCTGCTCAAAGTGGGAACAGCAGCAATTATATTTGTTCCACTCTTAACTACTCCAGATCCTGTCCATAATGAATGTAGGCCAGCTAGGGAATAATTACCGACAAGGACGCTTCTATTCTGAAAACCCAGAATGTCCAAATTTTAGACAGTATTGTTAGGAACTGTTATCCTCAAAAAGGATTTTGAATAATGAAGCTATTGGAAATGAGAAAAGTCATAACTGCAACTCAGAACATTAGAAAACCATACAGTACCAAAAAACAAAAACTTTCAGACAGGCTAGTTCAATAAGTAGTAGCAAATGATGTTGCAGATGCCTCCAGTGCACGAGTTCTATTTAATGGAAGAAACGGCAAAGAATTATGATTTAAGATATCTAATACCTCTATAACTTTTAACATCCAATTTTCAGCCCCTCTTACACTATCATCTTCCCTTAATTTGATTTACTGATATTCATCACTTAAAAGAAATATTTCTTATATAAAAATTAATAATTCTTTAGCAACAAGAAAGCCCACATAACAGATGCACGAGAAAGAATAATACAGCATTACAGTTGATTTGACCTGATCTTTGGTTGCTCCAACCATTAAGAATGAAAAATATATGGTCCTGTGGTTTCATAGCATAAGGGGAGCCATGTTGAATCAGACCAAAGACTTAGTTTATCAAGTGTTCTCTACTCAAACTGCCCAACCATATAGCTATGCAAAATCTACAAGCCATATCTGGCACAAGCACATTCCTGTTCCCCACTGATAACAAAATTGATTAATACCAGGCTTGAACTGAGCTTGTGTATGTGCGCACATATAAATACAAAGTTCAAAATGCACACAATTATCTGTCATACTACCGTATATACTTCAGTAATGCATGCATTTTGTTTTTGCTGGATTGATGGCAATGCTTTTTGAACATTAAAGAACATAGAACATCTCTCCTATAGAGATCATTGGCAAAGTGAATTATTGGCTTGCCTAACTCACTGAGATATTTGTGCTTTCGCATTATAAATTCAAATCTTGCACTTTATTGTACTCAATTTTAGTTCAATCTAGTGATTTACTTTTCGTAGCTGGACTAAGGCATGGGTGGAACATTTTATATATGAACTCATTCCAAGTTGCTGGAGTAATTCCTTTACTTTTCATATTTTATAATACTACCTTGCTTTCATAGAAGTGCCTTTTCATTCACTTTCAGATCATCTAGATACAGGCTCTGGACTATTTATCACTTCTTTTTCCAGCAGGAACTAGATTTCTCATTTCATTAAATTAGTGTATTATTTTAACTGCTTGACCTTTTCCAAGTACACTTTTGATCCATCACCAGGCTCCCAGGGGACTCATTCACTAGATTAATATTCAGTAAGAGCTTGTTAAAATAAACATGCTAACACAATCCTGATTAAAACATTTCTATGGATAAATTATCAAGATCATAATCCAAAGTCATGTTCATACATTCTATGTACTAATGTTACTTTTACTGTAAAGATTGCTCATTAGGCAGTAATTAGGTAAACAACATCTGAGAGGAATTGCACTAAATTTGAAAAATGCCAAGATGTGTGAGATGTTAAGATTTCTTGGAGCTAGGTTATACCCTATGCTTTTCTTGATTTTTAGCTTGAACATGGTCTATTGACACAATCAAGAGATAAGCAGCAAAGGAGGAAGATATGAGACTTGTCCTAGAGAAAACTCAAATCTCCACTTGAATATATCTAATACATCAGGATGTAAAAGGCATATGTGAAAAAAATACACACGAGTATGTATATGTGTACACACAGAGAGAATATAAATATATATATATATATATAATTTATAGTTGTATACATTTATAGTTTTATTTACAATGCAACTCAGTGGGTGACCTACTGGGTCTCACCTATTCATAGGATTATTGTGGGGATGAAATCGGGGGGGGGGAGTATTTAATTACTATAGCTATGCAGACTGAAAATAGTTCAATTACAAGCTGCAGTTTAAGTTTCTCTTTAATTTGCCGACAGCCCTAAAGAAGTTGTAATTCAGCAAACCAATGCAGCAAATGTAAGCAACTAATTTCCACTAAAATGTGAGCATACAACTCATATAGGATCGTGTTCTCATAGTAAGATGAAATTGAGTTTGACTCGATTATGTATGTATGAATTAGTTTCACCTCAGTCATACAAACCATCGTCACTATTTCTTCCATTAAAGAAATTAGCACAAGAAATTGTCTTAAAACAATTTGTCAAATATACTACTCAAACTACAAGAAACTGCAGTAGTCCCTAATACCAAGCTTAATCAAAAGATGTAGTCAATTTGTACCGTATTCCAATTGGTATACAAAGAACCTGCCCATAAAAATTGTGTATGTGTTAGTCTCCTCTGTAACTTCTTCAGTCTCTGAAAAGCATATTGGGGTAGGGGAGATTAACCCAAATTTGGGAGCCACAAAACTGAAGCTGATAGAATTCAAATTATGCTCCCTAACTCCTGCATGAGAGAGGCACTTTCTCCTCAAAAGAATGGAATTCCAAATAAGTGTTTATTTCACTTGGTGCTTCAACAGTTGCTTCTCCTGCCAAAAAAGCCAGAATAAACCACATCCATCAGCTTGATGCCTTGCAAGGAACAGTAATACTGTTACATACATACTGCATGACATCTACATGATTTTAAAAAGTTAACCACATAAACCAAGACTTTTTCATAGGACATAAAATGACATGAAGCAATGGCCAAAGACATCATGTCATTAAAAATTCAAACATATTTAGAACAAACTTTTTAAAAGGCACCAGTCTATGAAGTAGCAAGATACATGAGAAAAGAATATTGAAAATAAGAATCAATTCCTGCTTGATAATGGTAAAGTTGTGTATTTCCTTCCAAACTGTAAGAATTCTGATACAAGAGAATTTCATTTCCGTAGCACAAATGCACAACCTAGAGCTACATGTGGTTCCTGTAAGCCTTAGTATGATCCAGAGACTTCTAGCAGTTTTTTTTTAATGTGGCAAAAATAAAGTTTAAATACCCGATTAGGGAGTAATCATATTCATTAACTTTCAGTAAATTTCAATATTAATGAAAATAAGTCAAATATTTATCCTGGCCACAGAATAATTTTTGGGAATGCATTCAAAGCACTCCCTTCTAGGCCATTCCTTAAATTAATTTCTGACTCTATTAGAACATCTGGTTCGGAAATAGGATTCCAAGGTAGAAGGAGCAAGCATCTATTAAGAATACTTCCATAAGCTAGTATGATTGTTCAACTTGATCATGTCTGGAGAGCTAGTTCACCCATTACAAATTTAGAACAAACTTTGTCCACAGCAACCCTAAGCCAACCTACATTTTCAAGTTTATGGTAAACAGTGTATTTTTAAAAATCCTGAGCACAGCCTGCCCTTAAAAAAGACATAGCATGTTTTGCTCTTTGAACTACTACATTGGTTTCTGTTTGCAGGAAAGAGAATACACAGTATAAGACTGAAATAGGACTGCATGCCATTTTGTGTGTTTTCCAATTTCAAAAAGCATTGGCTGACTGAATACAAGTTCATTTCTTAATAGATTTGGAAATTTACAACTGATTGTGAGCATTGTCAAATGGAGTACCTCAGGAAAGCAGACAGACTTTCTAAAGCATATTTCTAAAATAACTAAACAGTTTAAAGCGTAAGTATTTTGGAAAAATTGAGTTAACATTGTATTATAATGTGAGACATACCTTAGCATCAGTCACAACAGAGCCTTTAGCCATTATTTCTTTGGACTCCATATGTTGGCCTGATTTTTATTTAACACTCTCTTTTCCTAGAAAATATCTACTCATAGAACTCGGATATAAATTTCAGGGCAATAAAGTTAAGCCCTCTAATAACAATTAAATGCAAAGTAGTAGAATCTATTGCACATGCTATCTAACTGAATCAACTCCATTTCACTGCCCAATGCAGAGCATCAGACAAGCAGAATATTTAACAGCAAGAAAACATTCAGTAACACAGGTTAGAAATATAGGAAGGTACTTCTTACAGAATTACTGATAAACATTTGGGGAAAAACAATTGAATTTATAAAAAATAGAAATTTTGTTAATTTGAACACCAGTATTTTATAAGCAGCTAAATGAAGCCAGTTTAGTTAATAAGGAGCAAGAAAAAAATGATTTCCTTCAGAATGTCTCCTAAGCATTGCATAAACAGACCAGCCTCACTTCCTGAGTTTTCTTTCAAGGCTTTTTGAGAAACACACACAAATAATTAGATTTAGTCAATTTTATTTACATTTTTGTACATTTCAGAGCATTACACAATTACATTTTCCATATTTTCTGACCTGCAAACAGATACCTTAAATGGAAATACTTAAAAAAAATATGCAGTTTGATACATCCAAATGCAACAATTACACATCTGACAATTCACAAAGTGTAATTTACTAGGACGTATCCTAAGGATTTAAGAACAAGTAGTCAGGGAAAAAAATCTGACTAATTATTTACACAACACAAAATTCTCAAGCTAACCCTTAGAACAAATGTCCTAGGAGCACCCCCCCCTTCCCCAACAGGATATTATGTAATTCACACTTAATGCAGCATTAACAGTCCTTGATCTCATACATGGAAGGACTGTTCAGTCTAATGTGAGCAACCAGCTTTCTCTTAAACTTGCCAAGACCTGAAGAGTGTATGTTTATCCATGGGTGCATAGCATAATTTTGAGCATTTGAAAAAAAGTGACCACAAACTTATTTATTAATGATCAAGTCTACCAGAATTCCAATTAGACTGGTTTCTAAAGGAATTAAAGTGGCCAGCAGGAACAAAAGCATTTTTAGGCATAGGTGAACTCTTTGGGCTCACTTCCACTGGGTAAAATCACAGAAATAAAGCTTACAAGTGAGATAGAATCTAGGATTCTGCATTTAAGGTGGGCTGTCCAGTTATGCCTGCAAATCCCATCACTTAGATTGATTTCCCTCCCCTCCCCTCTCCCCTTTCCACATTGAAATGGTATATATATATAGTGGATAGAAACTAGTAAAAATTCCCTGCAAATAAACTGCTCTTCAGCTGAGGTTATGGCTCCTATGCATGGGGTGAGCAAAGGAACTTCTTAACTTTTACAAAGAAATGTAAAGAGTTCTCTTGAAAAATACTGAGCTCTCGCTTTAGGTTAATCTGATTGCATGTACAATTTTTTAAAGGTTAACTTTCAGTCAAGACATTGCTACAAATGGAAATTTCAGTATAAAAAGCAGCCAACTGAGTGCATTTTTTAATCTAATTGGCCCAACTCCTTCAAAATAGTTAACTAGGTTAGACATTTCGTGGTGCCTCCCCATTTCTTGCCTACCTTACTTTGTTCATGTTTCAAACTGTGTCAGCAGGGCCCGAACTTCAGGAGTTAGCTGCTTAGCAGCCTTGGCTGCTTCTGTAATGGCCTTGCGGTAAAGACCTTTTCTCTTCTTATTAAATCGCGACTGAAAGTTTTCTAAAAAAGGGGAGAGCTGTGAAAGAGCAAGAAAAGATGTTGTTGGGGACCCAAACCATGAAATACGAGCTTCCTGTCGGACTAATAGGCCATTATCTTTTCGGCTCACAGTTATAGTAAGAATACGGGCTGGCCACCATGGGAAGCCATATATCTTGGCCCAAACAATGTCTCCTACACATATGGTCCTGCCATCTGGTGTGACACATTTAGAGACATTTTTTGAAAAGACTTTCAAAGAATTACTGAGCTTTTTCTCTTCCTTTAAAGAGGAGGAGGAGGAGGAGGAGGAAGGTGCATGCATGCTGCCTGGAGGAAAATCAAAGCTTTCAGTAGTGCTACACTCAGAATTGGAGGACTTCAAGTCATCTGTGCTATCACTACTACAGACTGATGCACTGGAAGAGTCAGATTTCTTTTTATTAAGGGTCATGTAAACTGTAATATTGCTTTTGCTGCCTTTCTTGCCCATGGTCTGCTGTTCATCCTGATCAACAGGTACATGCACTTCATTGGTGTCCTGAACCTCACTGTTGGCCTCTTCAGGACTTTCTGAGGGGCTCTGATTTTCTGAAGGGGCCTCACCTGCTGAGCGGGTAGACGAGCAGCGAGACTGGGGCTTAGCTGCCATCTTGCCACTCTGCAATTTCTCCAGCCCTGTCTTGAGAGAGGAGTCATTTTCTTCATTTCGATACCTTTGTGGCTTCAGACGCAATCGGGGAGGCAGGGAACCTGAGCTGGTGTTCTGAAGACGCCGTGTGAAGTGGACCTTTGAATGTGCATTTTTGGAAGTTGAAGTTGCACTCTGTTTCTTTTGTGCCTTTTCTTTGGCTATTTTCAAAACTTCCCTAGCTTTTGCATGATCCATATTTTTGCTCTGAAGAACTTTTTTAGTATTTAATTGGGTTTTCGATGTATTTGCTTGAGTGGGAACTTTGACTACTCTACTTCTGCTGTGGACAATATTTGCAACTTTGACCACAGAATTCTTTTTCTGGCTTTCATTCTGACTTTTCCCATCAACTTTATGATCAGTTTTAATTTTTTTGTTCACAGTAGTTACGCTCTCATTTCTTCGTTTCCTAGTATCCTCACACCTTAGGGAGTCACTTGCATTGCTGCCCTTCTTAATTTCTTTCTTTTCTGCAACAATACTGTTCTTACATTTGTCACATAAGACATGTCTGGGTCGCAATTTGATAGCATTCATAATAGAAGTGGGTTCCTCCCTGTACAATTTTCGCTTGGGCCGCTTAATTTTTCGAGGTGGAGGTTGAGGTATTGATTGGTTATACGTGTCCCTGATAAACAAAGGAGGGGGATATGGTGCCCCCACATGGAAAAGGGGAGGCGGTTTGGAAGTCCATAGGCTTTTAACCAGGCTATGTTCTGATGGCTGGATGGGAGAAGAGTCTGGGACAACACCGTTAGCTTCACATTTCACTTGCATCTCATCTTGGAATGATTTACTTTGGAGCTGCATGGCTTCAGGTTTATCCTTGTACTCCCGCTTGGGAAATATAGTCACAGGAATTCCATGAGGTCCAAACCTTAACAAGAGAGAAACACAGAGTTAACTGCCAATCTCCATTTGCTATCTTTGAGAAGCTTATATGAGGAACATTTTGAATACCATAATATACTTAAATTTAAAGGGCATTCCATGGCTCAACTGCATCTTTATTATCAAATGAGGATTGTTCAACAGGCTTGAATGGCTTTAAAGTATGATCATAAATTTATATTCATCAAAACTTTAAATTTGATGTTCAGAATTTTTTTTGACTTCATGATCTAAGGCAATAATTTCTAAATTATCAGTTCTGAAATATCTTTTTCCATCCTGATCTGCTTGTCCAAACCCCCATATAAACTGGAAGGGAAGTCAAATGGCAGAAGACTGTAATGGGGGGAGGGGGGATGTGCACTGCACAACATATAGATAGGCAAGTTCTCATTCAAACAAATTACTCTTTGAGCACAAAATATAAATTCACTAGATGGTTATGCAGCCCATATACAAGGCTCAGTACACATGGGATACTTTCTGTCTTGTATACACAAACTCTGATGAGCACTCAAATATTTCTTTCTGTTCTATCTGGTAATAACTGATATTAATAATGAAAATCTAGTTGAACTGTGTCTGCCTCTCACCTATTTTCAAACAATATAGTCAGTTCAAGTAAAGAACACAAAAAACAATCATAAATGTAACCATAACTGGTTTTCTCCACTGTACTTCACGAGCTTAAAATAACTTTGTTTAATAACTAAAGTGCTATTGATAGTAGCAGTATTTTATACCTACACTGGAGAATTATGTAACTGGCATAAAAAATTATTTGTCCAGTTTAAATTAAGAGTATGGTTTAACAATTTTGTCTCACTCAACATGATTTAAACAAGATCATTTGTTTCTCCCTTATTATGTACTTAATAATATTACCTACACAGGAGTTTCCAAAATGGCTGGAGATGGGACATAAAGAATTTCCATGGCATCTTTGTAATGACATAAACTTTTTGGAAAACTTAGCATTAACAAGACAGTGTTTTTCAAATGGAAATCAGAGTGGAAACACTGGGCAAGCTAATGGGAAGAAGGGAAGTATTGCAAAGTTTGGCAGATGTGTGGCAGAAAGACTGGGACTGGACAGGATAATGGGAAAATTGGCAGCAAGTCACTGCAAAAATGGGGAGGAATGGAGACCTGATGAACAGTATACTTTGGAGCATGTGCGAAATTGTGCAGACAGAGAAACTGAAGTTATTAACATATTAAAAAGGGAAAGTGCTACTGATAGGTGGAATACATACTCTAGCATATGCTACAGTATAAGAGAGGTACTGAGATGGTCAGCTGAGACTTCCAATTATTAGATATTCCCAAGCTACCTATCTTATAATACAACCCCATTGATGGAACTATGAATTTAAAGAATCAACTCACTTAATATTTATTGTTGTACTATCAATGTTTCACTTTAAGCATGGATCTTCTGCTATTCTTTTCATTTAGAACAACTAGCCATTATGACTGAATATATATTTGTCCTCCTTACAATCTCTCTTGCATCTTTCCTCTGCACCTAAGATGATTTCACAGAAAGGTAATTCTTTAGTTAAGACCTCATTTTTGATTAGGAAACACTACATCTATAAATTCATTATTTTCCACTATGAATCTTTACAAATGGTTGTCCAATCTTTTCTTGGAAACCTCCAGTGATGGAGCACCCACAAGTCAGGGAGCCAAGCTGTTCCACTGATTAATCGTTTTCATTGTCAGAAAATTTCTCATTTCTTGGCAGAATGTTCCTCTGACCAGCTTTCACCATTGCTTCTTGTCCTGCCCTCAGGTGTCATGGAGACTAAATTGACACCTCTTCCCTGTAACAGTCCAAAAGTATCAGAAGATCGCTATCATATCTCCCCTGAGCCTTCTCTTCATAGGCTAAACAGATCTAGTTCCTTTAGCCATTCATCATATGGCTTGGTCTTCAGACCCCTTATCATCTTTGTTGCTGTTCCCTGCACTATTTCTAGGGCCTCAGCAATTTTTCTATCGTGTGTTTAACTTACCTATTATATTGCAAATATTTTGGCAGCCTAGTCATAACTAGTAACTCCTTTAAAAAGTCTTACTGAATCTGCCATACAATTTTTCCCATGTGAAAGTTCTGCTGATTTGCAACATCTCAAAACCAAAATGTTTCCCCATTCCAAACATTTTAGACTTCTATCAGTCAAATCCAGCATATCAGTGATGATGGGAAATATAATCCAATTAAAAATATATACTGAACTCTTAAGCATAATCTAGATGATACCAAGCACTTTTCAAGAACTAAAAGAATATGTATATTTAACTTTCTCATTGAAATCAAAGCTTAAGGCTTCATATTGCATCTATTATTCTAGCTAGAATTTATTTATTTATTTATTTATTTATTTATTTATTGGTTCGATTTATATATGCCGCCCTTTTCCGGAGACTCAGGGCGGCTTACAATGCGTTAAGCAATTAACCCTAACCCTAGCATTAGATTAGATCTAGTTGCTTTCTAATTAACCTAATTTGATGTTGCACCTTTCCTCACTTGACAATTGTGAGGAAATCTTATACTGGACTATATTTCATTTATACTTCAGCTCTTTTCAAGTCCATCAGACTCTCTCAGCTTTTCTATGATCTATCAAGCGCATTTGTTGTTGTTAGTTCTGAAGTCCTGTCCGACCCATCACGACCCATGGACAACTTTCCTCTAGGCCTTCCTGTCCTCTACCACTCCCATCAAGTGCATTATAGCCTATTAATTATTTTCATGAACTCCTGAGCTAAGGAAGTTAACACCTGAAAATGACATGTCAGGCCTTATGAGTTTTAAATCTATACCAGGGGTGTGAAACTCACAGCCTGCGGGCCAGACGCATCATGCACTGGTCATGCCCACCCCTGGTTCAGCGAAGGGGGGAAAAGCCCTGATACGTCACATGACAATGTGATGCTGTGAGATTGACACCCCTGATCTATACCAACATACAGTACAATAGCTTGTGAACAGTGAGCCCCAACTGCTGCCAATGTACATTTTCTAGCAGAATTCAATGCAGCAACATATGATTATTAATTCCAGTATTTAAGATTCTTTCATAGAATTCAAGGCAAATAGTTTAGCTTGCCGTATTAGTTTTATGTACACACATACAGTTCAAAAAAATATGCAAACATAATTTTCCTTCCACTAGGCTCTAAATGGTTTCCTCCTCCCTTTCATCTATTTTGTTTGCTGCCATATTTCAAGACATACCTTTCCCTGCTTTTTTCCTACAGCCATATTTAGGAATGGCAGAGTAGTTGCCGTTTCATGGCTTGTAGTAAATCTGGTAAAATAACTATTTGTCCCAATTCTGTTTGCTTAGGGCCAAATATTATCCTAATGACCTTTTGATGCCTGTGGCTACTTTCTTTCGCACTATAGACTTTATTTCACTTGATTTTTTTTTTAAAAAAGTGCTAGCCTCCAACATAGTATTTTTTATTCATAGCTATGTCTCTGCCCCAAAGCAGGCTTTCTGGAGTAGCAGAGAGCATCATAATGATGCAATTCTCTTAGCAAATGAATATTTTGTCACTGGTTATGCTACTATTGTCTTTCCTTAGCCTTTCCTAATATTCTATTTTGTGAATCCAAGCTTTATCTGTGCTCATCAGATCCTACCAAAAGAAAGGATGCTTATATATTTCTTTGTATGATACTTTTATAGCATAATCCTGTAACTATTTGTATATTCATTGCTTTAAAAAATGGTGGTATAAAATTGTAAACACTCAAGAGAAAAAAACCAAGCCTACCGCAGCTCAAGGACAGAAAAGTATTACTCCCAGCATTCCTCATCATTGAACCTCTTAACTGGACTCCTAGAAGTGAAGGTCAGCAATATCTGGACAGACAGGTACCATGTTAGAGTATCATCTTAGCCAGAGATTTCGTATTCATGTTCAGTCATGAAAAGTCACATGACAGGGTGCTATCCTGGCAATGTTCTAAAGTAAAGTAGGCCACCTTTATTTTTATGAAGGGCCACCTTTGGAAAAAAAGGACGTTAAGGCTTCCGTCAATAGTAAGAGGGCTGAAGCAAATGGTAGGTAGGGCCACTGTTTCTCTTTGACATTCTTTTCTTTTTTGCTCTCTTTCTTCCTTCGCATATAGCTGGCTGCTAGAAAAGAGATAGGATTACCTTTGGTAGTAGTCTCCACTGGCTGCTTAAAGGAGGTTCTAGAAAGTAAATTTAAGGAATTTTGATTCATTTTTAATTCAGAGCCATCCTTAATTATGTTAACCTTTGGCCTGCTAGTACCTCCAGCCCCGAGAAAATCCCTTTATGAAACCAAACTTTCAGATGACCACTAAGGAGCTGTCTGAGAGACAAGGGGAAGGTCACAAAAAGATAGCCCTACAGGTAATATAGTTCAAGGAAGATAATATGGAGTTATTCTAGCAACCGCATGTGTATGAAATTGCTACATTCATAATATGCTAAATCATATGCATACTAGCTCAAAATAGATGGGCTATCTCAAAAAAAGTTATGGCTGAAAAAAAGATATATAGATATGCAGTTTTAAAAGCCTGTAGGACTTCCCTACTGTATGTAATAGCTACCCATATAAAGAACATGGAATGAAGGTTAAATGAGAATGCCTGTTAAGTTCAAAAGCGATCGTATACATGCATATTTTTATATCATATATATGTGAAGAATTGGTAAATCGAATTCTATATATGTACAGAAGCATACAATATCAAGACAGCTTGGTCTACTGCATGAAATGTCTTCTTAATTGAAGGTTTACACTCCCATTAAAATCTGATGTCCAGACTTAAATATCTGAAAATAAAAATTCCTTATATGATAGTGTTACTAAATGTATGTAAAATTGCGTGGACATATATAGTTAGGCTGGATTGAATAATGCAGAAAGCATTTTCCATCCCAAGCTGATTTAAGAGAACTAAACCATATGTAGAAGGCAAAGTGGGCAAAAAGTCTTCCACAAAAAGACAGTGTTATAGCAGTCATTGATTATACTAGCCCCGTGATGGCGAACCTATGGCGCGGGTGCCACAGGTGGCACATGGAGCCATATCGGTGGGCACGCGAACTCAGCTCCAGCATGCATGTGTGCGCCGGCCAGCTAATTTTCAGGCCTTCTGGGCCCACCAGAAGTCAGGAAACACACTGTCTCCGGCCTCCGGAGGGCCTCTGGGGAGGTGGAGAAGGCCATTTTTGCCCTCCACAGGCTCCTAGAAAGGCTCTGGAGCCTGGGGAGAGTGAAAAACGGGCCTACCGGGCCCACCGCGCTATCACGTGCCAAAATTGGGGGGAGCACGGGGGGGATAGAATTATGGATGTGGGCACATGTGCGTGTGACCCCACTGCACTACCCCCACTTTTGGCACACAATGGCAAAAAGGTTAGCCATCACTGTACTAGCCCACATCATCATGCAAAAATTATATACCCTATATCCATGAATGTAGCTACAGATACTCTTTGCTTTATGACCGTTTGATTAACGAAGGGTCAAAGTTACAACATCACCAAAAAAAGCTACTTATGACTATTGCACCAACCCCTGAAGGCATGCGATTACAATTTGGGAGTTTGTCAACTGGCTTATATTTATGATGGTTGCAGCATCTTGCAGTCACATGATTAACACCTGTGGCCTTCCTAGCTGGTTTTTGACAAACAAAGTCAATAGGGGAAGCCGGATTCGCTAAACAACTCTATGATACTACCGGTATTAACAACCACAGCGATTCGCCTAACAAGGGGTAAAAATGGCTGTAAAACTAAGTCTGGTAATATGATGCTTTCTTTAATAACCACACTGCTTAGTGACTGAAATTCCAGTCTCAATTGTGGCCATGAGTCAAGGACTAACTGTACAATTGTCAAAAATTAGCAACATAAATTTCGTATCAGTTTGAGGCAAGTAATGCATGAAAATTGCAGAATAAGCTTAAAAATGACAGCTTAATTTTTAGAAGAAAAACTTAAACTTCTTACTCAAAATTCAGGAAATATTAAATCAGAAAATCCTAGCCTCAGATACATGCCACATGGTTCTGCCCATGCCAAGCGTACTGCAGCTCCAGCTATCAAATAATTGTTTATTTTTTCATTATACGATAACACATTTTGAACACAAATTCTTCGCTATGACTTCCACCCAGGGAAGTTTACTTACAACATCAGACTATTTTTTAAGTTATTCTAACCAGCTCAATGGACAAAAAAGGAAAGGTAATTAAAACCTACTCATTTTAAATGATATCATCACTATTGAAATGTAAAGTGGTGTGAGTCATTTTTACTACGAATTTCAACAAGATAAGATCATTTTATAAACCACATGGTATTAGGTGCAGTCTTCAAATTCCAAGGAGCCTTTACCTACCATGATAAGCAAGTCTCTATCTTAGCTTTGTAAGATATGTCTGTTACAATTGCATCAACAATGTTATTGATTTGTAAGTAAACATGCACTTCATGAAAATGTTAAACTTTGGTCATGTTTTATTATAAAATGTATAAAACTGCAAAGCTGTGTTCTATCTTAACTATTTCCAGATTTAACTGGCACCTAGCAACTAAAAGCACCAACCCACAAACACTTCTCTTAGCACCAGCAATTTCTCTGTACCACTATTTTAAAAAGATTCTTTCATGTTAAGTAGCTGTGCATTACACAGCAAAATACTAACATCCAGCATGTTTACTTCTAAGAATTCTACTTCATTTTCAAACAAGTGCACAAAATAAGAAAGCTAAAATGAGCAGTAATCTTTCTAGGCTGCATTTTGCTATTCCATGTTTTATGCTTTACTTTGAAGCTAACAACATGCTTCAAATTTGCCAACCAGATTAAAAGTTACATGCCCGTTCTTTTCTTCCCCGATCCTCTTTCTCTAGTATGTGTGTGTGTATATCCATCTATCCACTATATAACAACTGAAAGAGCATTATGAAATACTGAAGTAAATGAAACAGTAACACCTCCTACCTATGCCTGTATCAAATGGCTTATCAACTATGCAAGAGAAGAGGCAAAGTTTCCCATTCTTTGTTAGAGCAGAATGCTAATGATAGCTCTAGAAACATCAGAGAGAGAAGCTACTAATACAACACTGTTTAAGGGTATGCAGTATACATGCTTGATGTGTGAAACAACTTGCTGTTTTAATTTTTTGTCTTATGGGGTTGAATTTCACTTTATCCAGCTAAACCAAGAGCACTGATGTTACTCTGTTTTCCAACCCTATTTCAGTTCTGCATAGTTCGAATATCATACCTGCAAAAGAAAATGTAAAGTAAGATGCTTTACCAGATCTATTAAGGCTATATATCAAGGAAAAAATACAAGCACATTACGTCCTAGACTGCTATGGATAATGTCAGAATATCCCTTCTACCAGTACCAATGGGCTTACAGACCTAAGAATTTGAAAGCCAGCATATGTGGTATATTTGTCACGAAAAACATATGGCGATATCTATATCAATACACAATCAATTCTATATAATATATCCTTTAAATACCTTGTGGACTATGAAGAAATGCATACTGGAAATTCATTATGCCACTCTCTCAAATATTACAAACACCAGCCTTCCTATAGTGCATGTGTTGCATAATTATATTACAATTAGATTTTATAATCTGCTTACTATGTACTCTGAAGGAGTTAGAAACAGCATTACCTATATTTGTTTATAAGGAAGGCAATAAGAATGGTCATACACTATCATACCAAAAATTCTATAAGCCCATCAGGCAATTTTAGTATGTGCCTGAAATTTGGTAGTTAGATATATTAAATATGTAAGCAATGCATCCTAGAGTGATTACATGCCATCAAGTCAGTGTTGACTCTTAGCAACCACATAAACAGACTTTCTCCAGGATGATGTGTCCCCAATCTGGCTATTAAGGACTCCCAAGTGTACACCTATTGCCAGTGTAATTGAAACCATCCATCTTGCTTCTTATCCTCTTAACCATTGTGTTAATTTGCAGTATTACAATTTTAAAAGGCTGCTGGCCCCAATAGCTTTATCTTTTTCAATTGCCAAAGTTCCTCCTTCCATTTTTTAAAGTTTCAGGCTTCCCAGCCCTTTTTTATCTCACAAGGCTCCTTTTATATATATTTTAAGCGTCAAAGTAATGACAAAGCAATACAATGTTCCTGGAAATACTTAACCAACAAGAATGAATCTAAAAATGTAGGACTTTATGGTATAAATTGACAGTATTCATCTTCCTCTTCAGAACTGAAAGATGCGTGGGACCAAGTTCTCAGAAATCCTGCTATATGACCTCAGATTCATTTTAGACAAAATTTAAAGGGACAACCTTTTGTTGCTTCTTTGTAAATAAGGGAACAGGCTCAGCTTTACTAGATAGGAATGCATTTGACTGATTTTCTTTAATCAAGTATGCTGTGGAAAAAAACAAAAAAGATTGCTTCCTTCACTGCCATGTATTTTCTTTATTGAAAATACATGCACAGTTGAGTGTGTATGTAAAAATTAGAAATCTTTTCCAAAGCAAGCTATAATGTTGATGATACTGGGATTGTTTACAAATACACCTTTTACCTGATGAACTCAATGAAAGAGTGTGTCACAGAATGCTCTGGTACAAGTTCCTCAAACCAGAAAAAGTAATGCTTCTGCCAGAACAAGTTTCTTTGCAATATACAAGTAAGCGCAGTTTTCATCCTGCCTGCAAGATAAGTAGGAGACATTCTACCATTTCCCCACCAAAATAGCAACTGAACATTTCTGCACTTCTATAAAGGTAGGAAGGAAGGATAACCAAATGAAGGAATGCTAAAATATCTATCCCAATAAGGTAGGACAAATGTATATTGTTTGGTGAACAGCTTTTTTTTTTGCCCACAGCTACAACATTGCCAGCTCAAGCTGTGGGGAAAAATTGTATAGCCATGTGGGATGGACAACAACCCTCCAGCCTTTTTTTACAGACCACTTCTTCGCTTAAAAGAAAACCCAAAAATGGGAGCGAATGAACCTTAACACGAAACGAAGGGACAAAAAAAAGGCAAGGAAAGGCTAGTACGTGGGAAGTCATTGAGGTAGGAAAGGGAAGGGAGGGGGGAGGACTTTCCTGGCTCGGAGTTTAGGCCACGAGGCTCACTCAAAGGCCACTCGCGCCCCCTTGGCGGAGCCATAAAGCCCTGCACCTCATGGCTCGCGCCCCACCTTTCTGTGCAGCCACCCAGGAGGCGATGGAGGCCTCGACTCGGCGGAGACTATTGAGGGTGGTGGTGGAGGAAGCTGCAGCTGCAGCAGCAGCAGCTGAAGGTTATAGAGCAGGTCCAAAGCCACTCCGGGAAAGGAGCCGATGCGTCTCCTTTCAAAACAGCCCCGGAGGTCCGGTGGGAGAGGGAGGCTTAAGAGCAGGCAGGGCGCGGCCGGTCAGGCTGGCTCACCTTTTGGAGAGATCCATGAGGACCCCGGAGAACAGCTTCTCCCCGAACCGGAACGACACCACCAGAGCATCCTCGATGATGTGATCCAGGGTGACCAGCACCTCTGAGCCCGGCAGTAACAGCGCCTCCTCCTCCTCCTCCACCGGCTCCGCAGCCACCGAAAGCTCCGGTTGCTTTGCAACGCTTGCCGTGGTACTTGCGGCGGCGACAGCAGCATCCGGCTCCTCCTCCTCCGGCCGGGGCGGCTCCTCCCCGGGCTCCGGCCCCGCGGGGCCCCCAGCTGCAAGCAGCAGCGGAGATATCAGCGGCAAGCCCGGCTGCGGGGGCTGCCCTTCTGCCTCTTCCTTTTCAGGACGGCCGGAGAGCGTGGCCGTCAGCGAGCGAGGCTGAAGAAGCTCTCCCACGGGGCCCGGGTTGGGCTGGGCCTGCGGCAGGTCTCGGGTCCCCGCTGGGCTCTTGGGCGGCGGCGGCGGCGGCGACGGCTGCTGAGCCTCTCCGCCCGGCGCTGGCTCGGGATCCTCCCTGGCAGCGTCGAGCACCGCCGACTCCACGGCCGCCTGCGTGCCGGCGGGGAGCGCGTCTGCGCCGGCTTCGCTGCCTGGCATGGGCTCGACCTCGCCAGCTCCCCCATCACCCGGCACCGCCGCAGTCGCAGCCACGGCCGCCATTTTCTCTGGTGTCGCTTCCTCCTCCCTCTAACCAGCAGCAGGATCGATAACCGTGGCCTTCTTCCCCCGCCTGGCTAGGAGGGGGACGCCGCCTATCGGGGGAGGCAGGGATCTTGCCGATTCCCCAGCTCCTATTGGGCACGGCACAGGTCCATCAAGTGCCGATGTAACTTCCCATTGGTCCGGAGGGGAAACGTTGACGTTGAGGGCAGGAAGAGGAAAAAGAGGGCGGAGATCCCGGTATCTGTGTCGACAAAGATCAAAAGGGGGCAGGTTAATGAGCAGCTCTTCTTCTATTTGTAGGGGGGAAAAAAGAAAAGCCCGCCCCTCTCGCCGAAGCGTCTCATTGGCTTTGCAAGACGTCTAGCGAAATGTATGTTTTAAAGCAAGATAGAAAGCTGTAATCGTTTGCACTTCCTTCCCCCCCCGCCCCCCGCTCTGGGGTTGTCCCGTAGGATGGTCGTGTGAACGAGGTGGGAGAGAACGCAGGGACTGACATCCCCCAATTCCCTGCGCTCGCTTTGATCCCGGGCTTGGGACAGCCAGTCCAAAAGAAAAAAGAAAGAATAAAAGCACGGCGTTTATAGGAAGCTCGAACTTCCAGGGTGGGAGGGAACCCGAACTTCTGTGGTTTCTCGGACGAAACACATGGAAATTGCCCTGCTTAGCGTTAACCATGCCAGACCTAGAAGCCCAGAGAAGGAGATTGAAGGCGAGGAGAGAAAAGCTTAGCATAGCCCATTGGCCGTCTTGGAAAAGGAGAAAGAAAGTGGGATATGGATGGAAAAAACTGCGCCCGGATTTGGGAATGCTCAATTTAACTGAATGGAAGAGTTCGCCTTTGAGTAAGCCCGTGGGATGCGACTAAAATGTTTTGCTGTAGCCGCACATGATCAGAGATCTTACTCTCTGCTTTAATTTTTGAAGAAACGAGGAGGTAGAGTTACTATACAGTCGGATGGGATTAGCATCAGCGGTGGCTTCTTCCCTTTCAGAATATATTCAATATTAAGAACATGGTTTCCAGGTTATTTTAGGAACTATTAATACGACATAGTTTCCTATGGTTAAGGAACATGCTGTAGTCAACACAGTGTTCGTGGCTTATGATGTAGTACAGTAAACTACGTATTATCTTAGTCTGGTTTCTCACAACATTCTGAACTAAAGCTGTGGCTCTGTGGCACAAACCCAACTAGAAAGTACAATACACACATACTTGGAAGAAAATGCTAAAAGTGTCACTGCGCCTGTTTCAAAGAAGTAAACACCAACCCACTTTATCAGATCAGGTTATGCTAACCCAGCATACCAGCTGCTCAGTCCTTGCATAAGACTCATAAAAAGATATTTCTCCATTAATGCTACTACATTATATTCTTCCTCTTGTTCAAGAGACAGTAATTTCATAGTTACAATAAAATCTTAAGAATCATTTTAAAAATATCTTAAATCATTGTAAAATTACAACAATCACACATTTAATGCAATGTGTGAATAATGATTTGCTTTAGACTAAAAGATGAACTTCAAACAAACATTTTTTGTTTGAATTTCAAATTCATATCTCTTATATTGAGATGATTTTGATTCAGTCTCAAAACAATATTTCCAGAAGAGATGGCAAAAATAAATAAATAAATAAATAAAATCAGGAGTCTGGTGGCATTTTTCTAGCAAACATATTTAGTTGGAAAAGATGTTGACCAGATCCCCTCTTTTTTTTTTTTTGCCATTATAGAATAACATGGCTCTCATGATATTAGAAGGTCTAGAGAATTACTGTTTGAAGGAATGTGTGAAATCATTTGCACACTTGTTGGATCCTGATTGTAGCATATCACATGTGCTATATAACTTCTCATCCTGCAAGATACAGCTGTGTCAGTTTGCAGATACATTTTTTCTACATAAACTTTTAGGAATCACCATCTATCATAGAATGAATGTTTGGGGTTCAAATAAGTATATTGAGTCAGATATTAAGTCCCATTTAATTCAGTGTGTCTTAAAGTATAAGGTTGTAGCCCTCCTACTCGAAAAACCTTGAGGAAGGATGTTTGGATTTGTATGCAAACTTGATTCACAACTAATAGAGGTACGGAGCCAAACAAAAATTCAGAATAACAGAATAGCAGAGTTGGAAGGGATGTTGGAGGAATTCTAGTCCAACCCCATGCTCAGGCAGGAAACCCTATATAATTTCAGACAAAGTGTCGCCCAATCTCTTCTTTAAAAGCCTCCAGTTTTGTGAAAGAGAGAACTCATAACAAACACATAAATGAGAGGATTGAGCACCAAATGCTGAGAATATTTTTTAATTCAGCAGTTAAATACAGGTATTATATCTAGGTTTACAGATCAATAGCAGGCAGTCAAATTCTTTTCATTGCCACAAAGTCAGAAAATGAAAAGAATTGATTCTGCCTCAGACGTAAAGTATCTTATTCACAATATAATTTGAAATTTTGGAAAGCTGGAAAGAGGAATGGTTTACAAAATAAGGGATTTTACTAGTTTTAGGAGGGCCTAAGTCCTTCAGGAGGTGAATGCCTTGAATTTTATTCTTTTCATGAAAAGAAGGAAAGGATTAAAACCAAAGGGAGCACTTTGACTAATTAAGTGCACTGCACAATAGTTGTGCAGTGAATCTTTGATGGGGTCTTGTAAGGTCAATTCACAGTAGATGGTTGTGAGAATAAAACAGACTATTTCTGGTCCTCTTCATTTTAACTGAAATTAAATATGACTTTTAGATTTGAGTCCAATGCAATAAAGTGTTGAAAATGTCCAATATTTCAAACTGACGTGAAACTGGCGGCCCGCGGGCCGGATGCATCATGCGCAGGCCATGCTCAGATTGCTCACCCCAGCTCCACGGAGGGAAAAAACATTGTAATATGTCATGAGATGGCAACGTGACGTGGTGAGCTTGAAACCCATGCTTTAGCACATATCCTTCACAACTCATTCTTGAACACACTTCATTCAGATGGATATAAAGACTTCCCTAGATACTGAAAGACAATACGGTAGCTGCAGAAGATTTAACCGCTATCCTCATATTTCAACATGCTTATTTCATTGAAAGAGGTAATGGGGAAATAAACATCAATATTCAGAAAAATTCAGGAGAAAAACTGCCCTGCTTGTTCCTGTGAGTTCATCTCAAACCTCTGATGGTAAGTTTAAAATATTACAATTGTTTTAGAAACATGTTTTGAAATGTGATTTTAATTTCTTACTGGTCCAAATTAAGCTAATGACAGTAATCCCTCCTTTTAGGTAACATTTTTCACTACCGGTATTTATTATGATAAAAAGATATCTATCTTTGCCATTGTACACATTCTGTATTGGAATAGGTGTATGCATTTTGTGGATTTAATTTTAAATGTTGATAGAAACTAATAGGCTCTGAGGTGGTCCTGTACTGTTAAATTGGATGTTCATCCAGATTTCTGCAGCCAGGTGTTATAGCCCTAAAATTATGGCCCTGTGATCCAAAAGCCTGGAGCTGATCACCATAGAAACTAGTGTCAATATATAATTCTCTAACGATATAGTGACCTTTGCAGCAGCCGCAGGGTCACGTGATCAAAACTCAAACATTTGGCAACGGACTCATATTTATGACAGTTGCAGTGTCCCGGGATTCTGTGATCACCTTTTGTGACTTTCTGACAAGCAAAGTCAATGGGGAAACCAGATTCACTTTACGAACGTGATAACAACTGCAGTGATTCACTTAAGAACTGGCAAGAAAGGTCGTAAAATGGGGCAAAATTCACTTAAGAACTGCCTTGCTTGGCAATGGAAATTTTGGACTCAAGTTGAGGACGACCTGTATAAGGTTGAGCTGAAAAAAACAACAACAACCTGCCCCAAATAAACCCACAATCTCCATAGCTGGGTGGGGGCATGACCCTAGATCAATAGTCCACCTCTAACCATCTTCTCTATGTCTTTATTATACTACCACTTTTTGCTGTTACGGGCGGTTCTGCATTCTTAGCAGTGACAGCAATTGATTGAGCTTGTCTGGGTTGTGAAGCTAAACAGTGTCTGATCAGATTAAAACTGAATGAGAAACCATCAGGGGATAGCTGGGTAGTAGACTGTGATAGGAGTTATTGACTGACTTGATACCAAACTAGTTTGTATGTACATAGCATAAATAATTTGCAACAGCATTAAAGAGTAATTTATTTGTATGGATTGTTTTTATTTTATTATTTTTATAAATAACTCAAAGCGGCGAACATACCTCATACAGGTAGTCCTTGACTTACAACAATTCGTTTAGTGACTGTTTGAAGTTACAGCGGCAATGATAAAAATGATTTACGACCATTTTTCCCACTTATGACCATTGCAGCATCCCCATGGCCATGGGTTTACACTGGAATGTTTGACAACTGGTTCGTATTTATGACGGTTGCAGTGTACTGGGGTCATGTGATCACTTTTTGTGACTTTCTAAGAAGCAAAGTCAATGGGAAAGCCGGATTCATTTAACAAAGGTATTAACCTTTGCAATGATTCACTGTGGCACTGTGGATTTAACAATTGCAACCATTCACTGTGGCAAGAAATGGAGCAAAACTCAACAAATTTCTCACTTAGCAACATAAATTTTGGGCTCAATTGTGGTTCTTAATTGAGGACTCCCTATACTTCTTCCTCCTGCTATTTTTCCCACAACAGCAACCTACTGCATAACTCAAGAACCTTTCTTTATATCCGAATGATTTATGGTGGGCACGCCTGCACAATACCATAATGTGGAATTGCATAAACTGGAGCCCCCTTTTCAGAGGATGTTTTCTCTGTATGCCAATCATGCAGCCATAATTTTTTGATACCTCCCCAAAGGTTAATTTGGATCATGCAAAGTGCAGTGATAAATGAATGCCACCCTCTTGTCTCTGAGCTTATCTTGCACTTATTGGTTGGCAAGCACCTTGTCTAATGCAAATTATCTCTGAATGCTTGCAAATGTACCTAGATGCTTCTCAGCCCCATTAAGATGGAAATAAGGTTGACAACTTTTCAGTCAGCCTTTATTAACAATGCGGTTAAGTTTCTTTGTGTTTTCATCTAT